GTGCTGCGTTGCGTTGTTCGTCGTCGATCCACTGCTGCAAGGTGAGTCACCCGTAGAAGAGAACGTCACGCGCGGGAACAATCTCCTTGCTGTCAATGTCGAGAATGAGCCAACCTTTATGCTCGTGACTGAGTCAGTCACGGTGGACTCCCCAGCGCGCGCGGTGAGTGAACTTGCCGATTGTGGCTGAGGTCGGCCGATACTGAACCATGCACCCCCAAACCCTTAGCATGGAGGGGTCTCCCCTTGAGCCGGTCCACTTCATGTGTGGGGAAAGATTGTCCCTGTTGGCAGTGGTGGAGAGGAGGTTGTGCAAGCGCATCGCGTGGTTCATGGCATTGGGCCAGTACTTCTTGGGTAAGCCGGACTGGTTCATGAGAGCGCGCACTTTTGTCATGAGAGTGCGATTAACCCTCTCTGCGACGCCTTGCTGTTGGTGAGCGTAGGGGAGAGAAATCTCATGCTTGATCCCATTTTCTGTGAGGGCGCTCTCCAATTCGTTGCTGCGAAACTCCTTGGCCCCATCGCTCTGCCAGATTTTCAACTTCCTCCCCGATTGTCGTTGCGCATGTGCGAGCCAGATGCGAAAGACCTCTGGAGACTTGGAGCGAGCGTCGACTTTGGCGATCCAGACGTGACGTGAGTAGGCGTCCATAAAGGTGAGCGTATTTTTCGCCATTGATGTCATCGCAGGTGAGCACGATGAAGTCGCTTTACACCTTCTGCAGTTTCTAGTAGCGATTGGTGCGTGGTTCCATAGAGGGGTAGGCGCTGTGGGAGAGAGTAGCTGTGGGGCAGACGGTGCAGGTGATTGGGTGTGGGGTGTTGTGAGGTTGAGTGCCGTCGGGGCGCAGTAGTGCTCTTGGGGGAAAAAGCTTGGCGCGTAGACTGTTGCTGAGTGTCTGTCGCGAGGGGTGGCCGAGTCGTTGATGCCAAAGATCATCTTCAGCGCGGATGCCGGAGGTGCGCATGTAGCGAGCATGGTGCTCTGCTGCTTCTTCCTCCGTTTCTTGCGAAATCTGGAGTGGGGGCTCTTCCTCCTCTCCTGGTTCTGCTTCGTTGTTCGGCTCCTCTGTTTCTGCTTCTGCTTCTGTTTCCCCTTCTACATGTGCCGTCATGAGATAAAGCGCGAGAAATTCGCGATCGGGAATGATTTTGAGCGGTGTCCTCGTGCCCTCAATGAAGCGGACGAATGGATCTGGGCAGGAGATTGGACCAAGTGAGTCACGCGGGGGAGTTGGCGGCACGTTCCCCTCCTCAATCTTCGTCCAGGGATCGTCCCATCGATAAGGTGAGCTTGGAGGTGAGCGAGTGCGCGGGGGTCATCCAAGCGGAGCAGCGATTCGCGGGGATTGTTCTCCACGTTCGACTTTCATCCCTCATTCCGCGTCCTCCAATTCTTCTTGCGTTATGTCACCTTCGGCAAGTTCGGTATTGCCCCATCCTTGTATGGTGCTGGATGCGCCAGTTGCGGATCCCCATGTTGCGCCATCCACTGGCACGTAGTCGTCGTCTCCCCATGCTCCACGTCGTGCTGACTCCTCGTCCCATCCTGCTGCTATGCGCTGCTCGTACATTTTCTGCCTTTTCTTTGCCTTGGCCTTGTCTCTTTCTTCCTTGATGCTCAGCTCCCCTTTTGCGTCAGGAACTTTCCACGCCGTGTCGATCTCCTTGCGGTAGATGTCGTGGGTGTAAGGGTGCGGACGTCCTTCTTCGTCGAAGGTGCCAGTGTTGGCTCTAAAAACGAAGCGGAGCGTTTCCGAGCGTGGTGTTGGTCGCTCCACCTGTGTTTGTCCGAGCCTATCATTTTGTTCGCCGAAGATGCAGTGAGTTGTCACGGCGAGCTCCATTTCTGTCATGCCCGTGGGTTCTGCCTCGGCGCTTTCTGCCTCCTGGATTGCCGCAAGATCTTTCTCCACTTGCTCTGTGCGGCTTGCCGTGGGTGTGTGACAGGTGGTGCAGAGGCCGTTGATGTTTGGCTCATGCAGATTGATCACACAGGGATGAGGACTGCGGCGGATCCACGGCCGTTCGTCTGGGTGCTGCCATGACTCTTGGCTCATGAACGGGAAATCAAGGGGAACGAGATCTACAAGCTCGTCTGATGAAGCTTGACAACTCGGTATGTCGAAATCCAGAACGTACATGCCATTGATCGAGCGAGCCCGTCCGAGGTATTTGTGTGACTCGAGGGGGGTGTCCGGAGGAGCATAGGTGAGGATCGGATCGCGTGTCTCTGGACCTGTGGCGAGCATAACCCCACAGTCTCGGAGTTGTCCTGCCAAGAGGAAGTTGAACCGGAGGTCTGGTACGAAGAGCACGTCGTTGAATGAGATGTGGGTGTTGCTATCTCGTGCTTGCAGTACCACAGTCCCTTGCCCGTTGGCACGTAGTTGCTCATTGTTGGCAACTGTGACGTAGGTAGGGAGTGCGCGGCTGATGTTCGAAACATATCGAAAAGATCCCACCATGTGTTGTCCGCATCAGCTGTCCAGGTACCAGGTGTTGTAGTTATCAGTGTTGTTGTTGCGCAGAAGTAGCGCGAGTCGCGGAGTCACTAGTGTTGCCTTGAAGTGCCTGTGAAAGAATGGATCTTCGTCTTCCTTCCATCCCACAGGTACGTATCGCTGGTGGTCGTGTGGCGGACTCTCCTGCAGTGTTATTGGCTGATGCCAATCTTGCTCGTCTTCGTGATACAGGTAGTAATGGTAACCGTGAGAGGAATGTTACATCCTTCCTCTGGTTGAATAAGCCCTCCGCGAAGTTCGTCCTCTTCGTCTGGTTCAGCAGTGCGAGGGCGACGCCTTGTCGCCATGTTTGCTATCACGTTTCTTGGAGCTCCTCCTTGAGGTCCTTGTGTCTGCTGTTGTTGGTGCTGTGCAGGGGGACGAGAGGTCTGATTCTGGGGCTGAGTGACGAGCGTCTTGTCGGCCGACCCAGTTGTTGTGGTGAGTGGAATTCGGGTGGCGATAGTTGGATCGGGATTTGCATCGATCTGTTGAATGTCAGAAGACTTTGCATATTTTGCAATAGTGGCGCCTTGGTTGTCGTCTCTCTTCACGGTTGTCTGCGTAGAAGGTGAGGCGCTCTCGGCGCGGGCGGAGCTTGTTATGCTCGAGTCCATGTCCTGCTGTTCAGTCAGGAGAGCGGCACATAGCGCGGCTTCAGAGATAATTCCTCGTTGTCGGCGTAGCGCTTTGCAGGGCTTCCACTCTGGCCCGAGTCCTTGGAGGACTATGTTGACGAAGATTTCTTCCGAGATTGCGCTTCCATGCTTCGTGATCTGGTCACAAATGTTCTGACAGCGGTAAATTTAAGAGTCTGCTTTCTCCCCGTGCCCCAACTTGGTTTCCATGAGTTGCTGCAGGAGCCTGTTGGCGGTGACCGAATCCTTCGGCTGATATACCTCAACGAGGTGCTTCCAGGCTTCCAAGGCTGGAGCGGCGCTCTCTTTGTAGGAGCGAATGCTGAGTTGTTCCGCAGGCGTCATATTGCGTAGCAGCATGCTATATGTCATAAGGGACTCGCTGTAGTACTGAGCCCTGGTGTCGTCGGTGTCTCCCACCGGTTTTGCGTAGGAGCTGTCAAAGTAGTGGTAGATTTGCGTTGTCCGCAGGAGGAGCTCAAGCTCAAAACTCCAAGTGTAAAATTCATTGCCGTCAAATGCGGCAGTAGTCTTGATTTTTGAAACGCTGAGAAAATGTGCTTGCGTAGAGTTGATAACTTCATCACTTGGACGGGGGGCAGTAGTTGTGGATTTGTCTGTGTTGAAGGAGAAGGTGTGCGCGGCGGTATCACGACTTTTCGCAGCCAGTTGTCCAGGTTGAACTGGTTGGGAAGAGGTTCCCGCATCCCCTTTGCGCAGTTCTTGGAGATCTTTCTCCATAGTTGATAGTCGCGAAAACAACTGCTCGAGTGCGGCAGTGCTGATCGTGGTCGTCGCCTCATTTGTCGCAGCCGGGTTGGTTTGTCCTTCAGCCGTTAGATTTGCTTGGCCTCCGGATCCTCCGGCCATCTTGGTCTTGGAGCGTGTGCCGCTCGCCAGATCTTGGTTCGGCGAATTTCACGGAAATGAAGTTACGAAGAATACCTGAGTTGCTCTCATACCATGTTATAATCCCAAGTGGGACTTAGCGGAAGATCGTTGAGGGTTGATCGCAAGGTAGTGTTGTAGCGGAAGTGTTTGAACCTCAGATCAGAGTGAATGTAAATGACTGAGATTGACAATAACATGCATACATTGGGTTTATATAGGAAATACAAAGGAATACGAAAAGACATAAACTAGCCATGTACTCTAAGGGGTACATTCCCTTATTGCAGCAAATTAAAACCGTGCGGCGCGGGAACCCATTTCAAACATGTCCCGCTCTTTTCATTACAAATGTTTCTGCCTGCATCGGTCTTGGTCAGGCCGTTGCTGCGTCGCTTCGACTCTTCTGACTCCTCGACTTCGTACTCGGTAGAGTTGGCTCCTGCAGCGTACAGAAATGCCTTCTCATACAACTTCATATCGTAACAGAAACGGATATGCGCGCATCCCGCACTGAATAATCAAGTGCTATGCTATTTGCACAATATGTTATACCGGTATATCCTTCACTATATCCACTGGACGGAGTGTCAAATCTTAGCTATGACAAGCTGGACGTGTCAGGTTTTGAGTCGGATACTAGACCACATTAGATTAAGGTTTTTTCTGTACATTTTTATAAGGGAGTCCTTAAAAAGGTACAATACACAAATGCGCTAAAACATTACAAGGTACACAAAAAAAGGCGTCTTTATAACTAAGGGGGCCTCCTTACGGACTATAACTAAATTACCCTATCGGGGTCAAAAGACCCGTGTGACTATTTTTCCGGGGGTCCTGTATGCACGGGCTTACTGTACAAGTACATGACAAAAATGCATATAATCTGAATCAATCCAAGTTGGTAAATGGGTAAATCTTATAAGCATATCAGGTTTGGTATGAACAGTATGAACCTTCAAAGTGATCAGACCAAATAGTCTAATAACGTCTCTGCTCCATCCCCCCCCCTGCCTGTAACATTGGGCATATCACCATTTCTACTTTTCCCTGCATTTACTGGCAGAGCTGGTCGCGGGTGGGCGGAGAGGGAGCGCTTGAGAGCCTTGATGGAGCGGAGCAGGTCGGTGACAGTGGGGCGGGAGAGGGGGTTGGAAGCGGTGCAGGAGAGGGCGAGGCGCACCATGGGCAGCACGATGGCGTCGGATGCTTCGGGCAGGTGGGCGGCGCGCAGGTTGGCCGTGATATTGCGCGATACCAGGTGCTGTGCCTGCACAGGGATGGATATTTTCGAATTGTTTGGCCGAGAATACGAGGAATGGGAGGGAGGAGATGGATGCATGAGTGTTGTGGATCCAAAGACGAGAACACATTGGCGTCAATGTGAGGCGTGGCATGGGGGATGTGTGTTAGGTTTACTTGTTAGGGGCACGCACTGGCAAAAGCAGTCAATAAAGCATGGAAGGTGCACATACAGCTAGTGCAGGTGCAGCGGGTGCATGGTGCAGTGGCATGAAGAGAGTGAGAAAGAGAGAACCTTTGCAGAGTCCATGTGCAGTGTGCAGGCATACGAGGCCAACTTCCTGCAGCAGCTCTGCACTGCGAGCACAACAATAAGAGACCTTGGATTCCGCACCACACTCACCCAGTCCCGAATGTGCACTGATCTGCTGCCACTAGAACTGCAGCTCATACTGCTGCTGCTGCTGCTGCTGCTGCTGCTGCTGCTGCTGCTGCTGCTGCTGCTGCTGCTACTACTGCTGCTGCTGTAGCTGTTTATGCTAACGCTGTTGCTGCTACTGCCATCTCCTCTGGCGCCATAGCTGTTGCCTTGCCAATCATTGCCTGCAGCTGTGGATATCAAGACAGGCCGTCCAGTGATGAGCTGCAGCATCACCACACCAATGCTGGCAGGTGGGGATGGGGGGATACGGGAGATAGAGGATAAAAATACGGGCAAGAGGAGAGTAGGCAGAAGCGTTTGGCTTGTCATCAATTGAGTTGACAGTTAGTCACGTAAAGAACACAAGCGATCAGCAGCAGAACGTATGGATCAGCAACATTTGGTTCCTTGCACAGGGTAAGTGGGAAGAGGGAAGGAAGTGGGAAGAGGGGACGGGGAGAGGAGACAGGAAGAGGGAGAAAGTTGAGGACTGTTGGAGGAGTCAGGTTGAACAGCACGGACCTGAAGACATCGGTGGAGGGCGTGGTGCGAGCAGAGGCATGCAGGATCGGGTCCATGTATGCATGGTTGGCAGGCGACCATGTGACCCTCCCTGCTGATGCCACCCATGCTCCTGCTGCTGGTGCTGACGATGATGCTGATGTTGACGCGGTGGCTGCTGGTGGTGGTGGTGCTGTGGGGATGGATGGGAGTGGGTTGCCCATTTTCACGGCCATGCAACCAGCCAAGACAGGCTGAGGGGAAGGCATGGGCGTGGGGTAGTGGGGGGGGCGAGGGGCAAGAAGTGGTGTGAGTGGATTGCAGGGGTTTGAGGGAGAGGCGACGCTGTGAGAATGGAAGGAAGCGAAGTGCGCGTGGATGAACACCTGTGTGTCGATTCTTCTGCATCTCACTTCACCTGTGTGTCACTCAGAACGTCACCTGCACGGTAGATGGGACTTCACCTGCTTGGCAGTTCACCTGCAGGGCAGATGGGAGTTCACCTGCAAGGCGGATGGGACGTCACCTGCATGGCGGTATCAAGCAGGATGTTGCGTGGGTGTATGCGGCCATGCACGACCCCATGGCTCTGGATGTGCTTCAGCCCTCGCAGCACACCCGCGGTCACATCCAGGCACTGCCACACCGACAGAGGGGTGCAGCCCTCTGCACGGCGGGAGGAGGAGGAGGTGCTCCGGACGAGGGGGGGGGGAAGAGGGGGAGTAGAGGGAGAGAGGGAACAGTTGAGGTGGGGACATAGGGAACATGGTGAGGGACAGACAGAGCAAAACATGGTCTGAGATGGCATGGACCATGAGTGTCTATGGTGAACCAACAAATGCGTTTGTCGTGGCGGTTCTTTGCAAGAGGTTTGCAAAAATCCTCACAAATATCGTTCGGTAAGCTGGCTATGCAAGGAACTGGGGAAAGCATGAAGCCAAGAGGGGCGGGGAATGGGTGGTCTGGTACAGTGAACCAGACATGCACCGTAGAGGCTGGTGTGCAATTTAGAAAGCAAAACGCAGAGGCATGGAGGGAGGGATAGGTATGGAGAGAGTTGGGTGGGGGGAATGGAGGTAGATGTACCTGCAGCAACGATGCGGCTTTGAAGATTGCCTCCTGGCACCCACTCAAACACTAGCACCTGCTCCTCTGCTTGCTCCACCTCATAACCCCCAGCAGCATCAGCATCAGCACTTAAAATCTTAGCACTATCAGCACCAACACGAGCACCAGCAGCACCAGCAGCAGCAGCAACAGCAGGTGAGTCAGGGTCAAGGGCAGTGTCGTGCTGCTCCCAGCAATAACCCAGCAGTCGCTGCAGGTTGGTATGGCGGATGGACCAAAGCGTGGCCACCTGGGCAGGGAAGGACGCACCCACAAGGAGGGGGGGGATAGAAAGGAAATATGGAACGGGGCACAACACGATAAGATACAGGCATTCGCGCCAAAGCGGCTGCAGCAGCAGTGGTCGCAGCAGCGGTGACAGCGGTGCCGCCTGCGGCAGCACTAACAGCAGCAGCAGAGGAGAACCATCCACAGCTCTCTCACCTCTTTCTGAAAGTCTGTGGAAAGCTCGTCGTTGCCGCGCCTCACAACGAACCACACCTGGTGGCCATCAAGAGGACTCACTGCCTTGTACCTCTGCCCCCCACTGCTGCTGCTAATGCTGCTATTAATGCTGCCGCTGGTGCCACTGCTGCTGCTCCACCCCTGCTTCTCCACCCTGCTATCCTCACTCCACCCACCCGTTGCTTGTGCCACGAGAGACACGGGGAACTTGGGACAGAGGGCACGGCCGAAGACACGGGATGCTGACGTGGAGGAAGGAGAGGGGAGAGAGGAGAGAGGAGATAGGGGGTTGAGGGGATGAGAGAAAGCTAATGGGATGATGGTGGGTGAGGCAGGAGGGGGCAGCAGCAGCGGAAGGGGTGGCAGAAGTGTGTCGTTGATAGGAAAGCAGATAATGACAAACGCGAGAAAGACAGACAAGCATCACCGGACAGTACAAGGAAGAAGCAGAAGGAATGGCCACCCACCATACCACGACCTCACATGGCAAAGCCACCATAAGTACCACATAACCCTTTGTGCCAGCCTCTGAGTCGTGGCACAGTACTGAACTTGCTCTTACCTGAGGCAGCTAATGGCTGTACTTCCGATCTCTGGGCTCCTTCCCTTACACACCCAGCAGCCACGACAGCAGCAGCAATGGCAGCCACAAGAAGACAAACCGCTCCCATTGATATCCCCACGATTGCAGAGGTTGGCAAACCGGTGGAGGGTGGAGGAGCAGGAGGAGGGGAGAGTGGAGAGGAGGTGGTAAGAAGAGAGGATAGAGAAGGAGAAGGGGGGCTCATGAGAGCGAGACTGGGAGCGAGAGGAGGTGAGAGGGGAGGAGGGGGAGGAGGGTGGCAGCGTTGGCCTGTTGGGGGAGAGGAGGGGAGGGAAGTGGGGCGTGGAGGGATTGTGGATGGGGAGAGAAGCTATTGTGATGACAAGCTCTGATGCCAATGCAACCTTAAGTTGGCATGGTGATTATCTGATTTCTGATGGCTGTCAAATGGCATGATGACTGTCAGATGGCATGATGACTGTCAGATGGCATGATGACTGTCAGATGTCACGATGACTGTCAGATGGCATGATGACTGTCAGATGGCACGATGCCTGTCAGATGGCACGATGCCTGTCAGATGGCATGATGGCAGTAGGGTATCTCGTGCATGACGTCACATGAGGTGCCATCGTATTTGAAATATGAGACATTAATGTGAGCATAAATACGGCAAAAATAGTATTGTATTTTACCGTTAAGAGGGATGCAGGAGGCACAGAACTCGAAGCAGAGAGCCTGGCAGAAGAAGGAGGAGGCGTTCTGCTGAATCTCACAGCTGCTGCCAGCCCTGCCGCATGTCACCCCTGCAGAGATGAATCTGGACGGGAAATATGGTCGGTAGGGGAGTGAAGGGGTGTTGGGGTGGGGGCAAGGAGAAAAAACAGGCAAGTGGCGAAATGAAGGTGCTCTTACATTGTTGATAAATTATGGGAAACGTATGCTTTTATTAGATTATATTCCCTCCCCCCACCCGTGATTTTGGCTGTGCAACGAAATGTGTCTTTCGCATGTTTCCGTGAGAATCATGTTTGCGGCACTCCACATCTGGTGGTGTGCCAGTGCAGCTATTTCTGGACAGCTCATTGTAAAGGGAGGACCAAATCTAGATATTGTGCAAGGACACAAACACATGTATACACACACTCACACGTACAAACACACACACACACACACACACACACACACGCGCGGATACACACACACAGACACACGCGCGCGCATACACACGCGCGCGCGCTCGCGCACACACACACACACACACACACACACACACACACACACCATACATACTCAAAGCATGTGGAGAATGATGCAGTGCAGGATGAGATGCATTGCAGGGGACCAACATTTGAGTGAAGTTGGGGAGAGCACCAAGGGAGGCTGGCAGCGAGCCAGCCAAGTTGGTATTGGCGATGGTCCTGCGACAGGACAGTTGTGGGGCGAGTGACAGAAGGAACAGGACAGGCGGATGGGCGGAGTAGATGGGGTGAGAGCGAGTCATGATGGCAGCCTGGGGAGGATAAGACACAATTGGTGGATATAAGCTTGTGTTTTTGAAAATTTAATGGAAAGAGGATGGGTGGACGTGTGTGCTGGTGTGTGTGTGTGTGTGTGTGTGTGTGTATGTGTGTGTGTGTGTGTCTGTGTGTGTGCGTGCATGTGTGGGTGGGTACGTCCAGGCACGTGTGTGTGTATGTGTGTGGCTGTGTGTGTGTGTATGTGTGTGTGTGTGTGTGTGTGTGTGTGTGTTCGTGTGTGTGTATGTGTGTGGCTGTGTGTGTGTGTGTGTGCGTGCGCGCCGCACTCGTGCATGCGTGTGTGCATGCGTGCGTGCATGTGTGCGTGTGTCCACGTTTGCATACAAGTGTGTGTGACAACCCAGCACCACATACAAGTACTCGAGACTGGCGAGCCGGCCAATAGTACTCGGTATTGTGCCACTGAGGTGAGTGTTGGACAATTCACTGGTATGCAACGCATTGCCACAAGAACGGGATGCCAAATGATCGCGCAATGAGTACAATGCCAAGCGGACATGAAATAGTATTCACAGGGGAATGAAAGGGAGAGAAATCAGAGAAGGCATGAATTAGGTCTGATGATCAGTTGAACACCAGATGCTCCTTGTCTGGTGGTTCTGCGGCTGAAGATGATGGTGAGAAGGAAGAGGAGGAGGAGGAGGAGGAGGAGGAGGAGGAGGAGGAGGAGGAGGAGGAGGAGGAGGAGGAGGAGGAGGAGGAGGAGGAGGAGGAGGAAGGAGGAGGAGGAGGAGGAGGAGGAGGAGGAGGAGGAGGAGGAGGAGGAGGAGGAGGAGGAGGAGGAAGGAAGGGGGGGGGGGGGGGAGGGGAGGAGGAGGAGAAGGGTGGTGATGATGATGATGGTAAAGCAAGGAAGAAAGAACTGCCAGCACGAGGTTAGAATGGGTGCATCATATTCCAGTCAAATTATTATCCTGACGTGTTTTGATTATGATTGCATACCATTGCGGAAGTTGGTTGAATTCCCATTTTTTCCTTTCTGTCCCCTTCTTTTATGTTAATCAGACTTTTAAAGCTCGCTTTGCAACAGCACAGGCATCAATGCAGGATATGTGGCAGCACAACAAATGCGCTCGCAGATGCAAGAGAAGAACACTCCATTGAGCCTATTTTTCATTCCAGACCAAAAGCAGTGATGGCAGATCAGAGCACAATGGCACGCGTTGACACAATGCAAACCAACCTCGTCAGGGATGGGAAAGAGGGGGGGTGCTGACAAGAAGGTGAGAGAGGAGAGGCCGGAGATGGTGGAGGGGATGGTTCCTGAAATGCTGGTGTTGGATAGAATTCTGACGGAAGGCCACGATGGTGTGGAGCAAAGATAGAGGAATTGGAACGGAAGAAACACATGTAGAACATATATGAACCAGGAGGAAAAGATTGGCGAGGGAGCAAATGGGGAAGGGAGTGCTATGTGAGAAAATCCAGGGTAGCAGAATGCATGTGGTATGGAGTGAATGCGAAATGCACAAGATACCAGATCACTGAAAGCTTACAAATCTCCGAGTTTCTTGAGTGCTGAGATGGTGGAGGGAAGGGGTCCTGAGGTCTTGGTTGATCTAAGGTTCCTGCCATGTGACATGTGGCATGTAGCATTTGGCAAACGACATGGTTGGGAGAAGACATATATGCGACACGTGTAACGTGTGGCATGTGGCATGTGGCACATGGAATGTGATATGTATGACTGTGTTCTCCAGGAGGACAGTGATGCGGTTGCTTTTCAAAACGAGACAAGGAGGCCATACAAAAGAATAAGACGGGGCAAATATGTCCGAAACGTTACCATAAGACTCAGTAGAGCCTTCCTTACAACTTTGTATCTGAAAATATCCTGTAGGGCGGGCGAGGTGCTCACATGTGCATAAGTAGAGAGAGTCTTGAGATGGAAGAGGGGATGGGCCCGTAAAAATTGGTTACGGAGAGGTCACTATAGGCAAGGCAGGGGGCAACGGGTGGAGAGCAGAGAAATTGAGGTCGTGTCAGCGATACAGATGTAGAGAATGTGATGATCTGGGAGTGGTAGAGTAGAGTACTTGGGAGTCTAGAATAAGAAAGTCGCAAGCCTTGACTTTCCACCATCACCCTCTCTGCACTGCACTGCACTGCACTGCAATTCCTCTGTTAATGTCTCTCCACTCTATCACTCCATCCAATGCATCTCTCTTGCTAGAGCACAGTGCAGCGAATAAAGGGAAACGAGCAGCACAGCACACACCCAAAGGGAGAGGTACAGCAATGGAAGAAGCACAAACGAGCAAAGGTGTGTGAAGGAAGGAGAGAGCGGGCGAAGGAGAAGGAGAGTAGGAAGATGAAGTAGAGGGGGGAGCACAGGGGAGGGGGAGGAGGGATTACAGGTAGGTCAGAAAGCTGAGGTGCTGAAGGAAGGAAAGAGGTCCAGTCAAGTTGTTGAAACTCAGGGTGCTGCCATTGAGAGACATGCGACAAAGAGGGGGACAAGCCAAGGCGGGAAAGGAGAAGGTCGAGGGAGGAGGGAAGAGAATGGGAGACGCGAAGAAAGGAGATGTAGTGTGAGAAAGAGGGGGAGAGCACGGGCAGGTTGGAGGTAAAGAAAACCAGTTTGGATGCGTGCACGCATGCATGCACGCACACACACACACGCACGCACGCACGCATGCACGCACACACGCACACACACACGCACACAGACAACCATACATACATACACACACATACACACACACACACACACACATACATACATACATACATACATACATACATACATACATACATACATACATACATACTTACATACATACAGACACACACACATACATACATGTCCATACATACATACGGGATTGATCTGGAATGCAGAACATCGTAATCAGCCACTCTAATTACTAGTTCAGAATTACACGTTAACCATTCTGTTTAGTAAAAAAAATTCGACCAAGTGCTACACGCCCTTACAGCTCGGCCAGTCGAGTGAGGCGAGAAAGGGCGCGTGTTAAGGCGAAGCCCTGCACGCGCCTGGTTTCGCGTGTAGCAGCCCTATGCGGAGTAGCGAGGCTTCGCATACCGCATACCGGTTTTACCAGTATTGCGGTATTCGCCAAGTACACTCCAATCTATGCGCTTCGGTATGCGCATTTCGACATTGGACCAGGGAAGTGACGACATTGCACAAACGCGTATGTGCAACTGTCAGTGTTGCAAGAACCTGCGCAACTACTCCTGGGCAGGTAGAAATACACCTGACGGTATTTTCACCTGATGGTATTTTCACCTGGCGGTGCCAGCCTGGAACCGCATTCTAGAGTAGGTGCTTGCACGTTCTCCTTGAACAACGTTCTTCATGAACAACGTTCTCGTAGAACGTTCTTGCGCACGTCACTATGCTTCTCTATAAGGTTCATGTTGTTTCTGTTGTAATCTATCAATTAATGAAGTTCTTTCTTTCCGTTACTGCATACCAAGTTGGCTTCAGTATTCGGTTTTCCACATGTCAGTATTCGGTTTACTAGCATCCGCTTTACAACTCTGCGCCTAGGCTCTCCCATAATCGCCTATTCTCCGCACTACACGCCCTTACAGCTCGGCCAGTCGAGTGAGGCGAGAAAGGGCGGTGGGCACGGGTCCATGGAGATTTGAACTGTCCAGCTTTCTGCATTATGATGAGACCACCATTGTCATTCTCATCACGCATGCACGCACGCCATTGTTTACGCCATGCCAAAATACAGCACAGCAAATCCCCAGCACGGCCCCGCACCACAGCATGCAACCCGTGAGATGCCAATCGATAAGGCAGGGCGAAGGCAGGCCGAAGGCAGGGCTGAAAAAGAAATCATTCACATATAGCGATACTCGTAGATCGTAGCCAGCAACATTTGTGTGTGCGCGCGTGCGTGCCTTCATGTATCGGATTAACCGTTGAGAATGTGGAGAGGAAAGCAAGAACCAAGAAGTGGAATGCAAGAAGCACATGGAGGGGGATGAAAAAAGCACAAGAAATATAGTACGGTGAGTATGCAACGTCTAAAGTACACCGAGAGGGCTGCAACTGCGACACGCACAAGAGAGTGAGCGCGGTGAGGTTGGCTATGCTGGTGGGGATGGTGCCGTTCAGATGCAAGCCCGCGAAGTTCCTGCGGCCATCGTGGGGAGCGGAAGGAGAGGCCCATAGGCCGGCATTTGAGGAGACGTTGTAGAGATATTCATAGAAATAGAGAGAGAGAGAGAGAGAGAGAGAGAGAGAGAGATAGAGAGAGAGAGAGAGAGAGAGAGAGAGAGAGAGAGAGAGAGAGAGAGAGAGAGAGGGGGGGGGGGGGGGGAGGAGAGTGGGGGAGGTGGGGGGACGGGGGAGGAAGGCAGGTGGCAAGCGGCACTTCTTGCCAGGAGAGGGCTGTCAGGAGTGGCAAGACAAAGCAGAAAAGCACATCATCATTGTACCGCACAGGCACATCACACACAGGGTACTGTCCGATGATGATGATGCAACATCGCGGATTTTACAAGGGCCGGAAGTCACCGAAAAAGTACAACTATGTGACTTTCCCGTAACATATTTCGGTCACGGGAAAGTCATGGCTGGAAGTCCCAGACAGCCGTGTCACGTTGCCAGTGACGCCTCAACCACCGAAATGTCCCCCGAAAGTCACAAAACAGTCACGTTTCCGTGACTTGGAGTGTCACGGAAACGTGACTGTTTCCCCACATTACTGTGCCCACACCGTCTGTACATTATAACTCACCCAAACATCACATTAAACCAATGGGGACACGTCAGCACACACGTGGAGTACAGAGACATCTCCGCGTAACAACTACAACACCGACCAGCAGTACGTACGCCACGTGTCCCAATGAGTCCGCTAATCTGGAAGCGACACTTGTCCTCACCCCCAATCCTCATTGACGGCCCAGATGCACCACAGTGCATTCCACATCAACGACTGACCCACGTCCACGTATCGCACTCACCAACCGCCATGTTACCGTCCATGCCGTCGATATGACCACACCTGTGCGATCAAGATTTCACCCACTCCACCAATGCGTTTTCGCCACCCACCAGCGAATCACATCTGGCCGTTCATCCAACGAATATTGACGGCCAAACCGCCCCCCCATTCGACACAATATTCGCGGTCCTCATCCACGCCGTAGACGTCAATCACATCGTCGAACTAGGACGATGTTACCAGGGTCCACCCACGGCCAAGATGCGCAGAGCCAAACGAATCCAAACCACCATCTGCCCGCGATCCAAGGGCCTCTGTTGTGCCACCCGGAACACTATCATTGCATCTATCGCTCGGAGATCTACGGCGCACCGAGGTCCTTCAACAATGCGCGACCATAAACCCTCATGCGTCGCCCAATCGCCGTCCACCATATCCCGGGTGTTACCTCTCGCCAAATGTAAAGCGACGCAGCCCAGCCTCTCACTCTTCGCCACATAACCTGGTTACAAAACATCTGGCCCGTCCATCACTGGCCCAGCATACCACTACAACCCTTCATCGCGCGACGCGGTGCACCGCCACGCAGTCATATCAACATCTGACCGTTCCTCACGATTAGCGCGATTCGACCACAAACATCAGCCGCCCAGATTTCATCCTTGCTGCGCGTATGCAATGTCTATGGTTATACACAAGGTTGTTAGGCAAGGTGTCCACGGCGTGCGATAAAAGCAACATACATTGAATTATTCCCAACTATGAAAACGAATAACGCACTCACATCCTCCACGCAACCACGCACCTGTCCTACTACACAACACCCATCACTACTGAAAGTCGCATCCTACGCACGGAAACCCACCACATTCTAGGCACAACATTACACGTCTTAATCCCTCCCAAGGCCGAGATGTGCAAACAGACACTTCAGTTCAGAGAGAGATTGTCTCCCTCCCTCACGCTCTCGCTGCCAGCTGGCGCCGCTGTCGCCTGTCGCTCGATGCCGCAGGAAGAAAGGCGCAGGCCATGGCGGCCCCATGCCCACGATGAAGTGGGCGCGTCGTACGCCGGCTGGAACTCATCGACCGCCGCCATAACGTCCGTCAGTGCACACTCGCGGAGCCCGTCCACGATCTGCGCGTTGACACCCGCAGAGTTGGATAGCCTTCCCTTGCGCGTTTCCCAGAAGCGGATGGCATCCGTCACCTGCACGAGACAAGTAACGAGCGGGGTTTAGGATTGAACCCAGTCACATTCAGGGTCGTGCCAGTTGTGAACCACCATCGCCCACGATAAATTCCCTACCACGTGCTCGAGCCACGCCATGTGGTACAGCTTCAGCGTCACAGTGCCGTTGATCATACGAGGCCTGAAGGCCGCGCGCGCACATGCCGCGAAAGCCCCTGACGCAAAAGGCATGCCGCGGCGGTCCTCGCTCCACTTGGAGATATCAAAAACCTCTGCGTACACACAGGTGACTGTCAGGCCTCGTCACACAGACCTGCGGTGCATTTCAAAATGTGACTTACCCTCCCCATCCAACGTCAACGCAAGTCGCTCCCGGACCCTCGCCGCCGAACGTGCCCTAGGTGCCGCCCACGGGCTTCGCGCGTCCCGTTCGTCGCGGAAAAGCCCCAGCTTCGGCAGCGCAATGTCGCGCACGCGTCCAGCAGCCGCCGTCTTCCAGTCGCTCAGTGTGCGGTTGAGGTCGGAGCGCCTAGCCTTGTCTGCCGCCAGAGCCAGACTGGAGAAAGGGAGGGGCAGGTTCTCGATGACGGCGCACAAAGCTGCCGTCTTTGCCGCGCTGCACGGGTAGAACGTCATGGACTTGCTGTCCGCCGCGATGAAGAGATGCACACGCAACTGCTCGCATATCTCCTGCACATGACAAGGACCCAAACAACTCGTATTGACACCGTTCAACCTACGCAACACCCGAAGCCAGGCAAGATGTCAACCGCGAAAACACCCAAACAGCACGTGCCTTCCATCCTTTGTTAGACGGCAGAAACTTCAGCGCGCGCTGGATAACGGGCGAATTGGACTGTCGCATGTGCCTCCAGTGCTCTTCTTCCACCTCGTCCTCGTCCAGTTCGGACTCTTCCGGCGTTGCAACGCGACGCCCCTTCCTTGCATTCGTCGCCCTATCGCAATCGACTCGCGCGTTGTCGCTCTTCCGCTTCTTTGCAGTGTGGTTGGCAAGAGACGCCAACAGCGCCGTCTCGAGCCTCGCAAGGGTCACAGCCGTGTCCTGTTGGGTTTTGCGCATAGCGTCAAACTCCACCCTCGTAACAGGGGCCGAGTCAGAGCGTTCCTCATTAGTCTCCTCTGCGTCGTCGTCGGCAGCAGCATTGACACGCGGAAGCGCTTCGTTCGGGTCGTCATCGCTTGACTCGGGCTCGGGTTCCGGTGGCGGCGCGTCCGCCTCTTCCTCCGCACCAGGCAGGTCCGATACTTTGCGACGCTTTTCGGGCCTAGCCTTGCTCCCATTACCAACAGACGCGCACGGTCCTTCCTTCCGCCGAAGCGTCGCAGTACCACGCGACGCGGAGCTCTCGCCCTCACGTGCGTCGGTCGGGTTGGGCTCCGGGGAGGACGCTGCACATACACATTGCGTGACGTTCAATCATTGTAATAGCGAAGGGACATTGCCACCCATCGTGTCCTACACATACAACTACATCAGGTATAGCTGTACGGATTAATAACACCATGTCAACACTTACACCGATCAGAAGTCACGCTTGTCGGTGCACGTACAACCGCCTTCTTATCCCTCGCGCCACATGCCTTTGGCACCGGAGGCCGCCTGGATGTCCCTGGCACCACATAATGAGTGAGGTGTTTGGGAGGCATGGACACTCGCTGACGTTTCCCCTCCCTGGACGCTCGAATGCTGTCGTTGCCACTGTCCATCTTGGCAGTGTTTCCTGGACGGATGGTGTCCAGAATGACGCTTGTACTACGTTTTGTGCACAACAAGCGTGATGAAGGTGACGGTGTTCACAGTTAGGCGTACATTGACGTGGCATTGGAGCTTCCAGACGGAAATCCAACATCCAATTGTCAATCGACACCAAACCACATCCTGTTATCGTCAAACTTTGGAGTCCTTCGTGTCCAAACCACGGCCTGTCAAACTCACCCACCTACATCTCGCAAAGTCACGTTCGTGTAACACATTATAGCATACACAAACACATTCACAAAAATATTTCTTCCTACAATGTTCCCATTGCGAAACTTAACATCACAACTCCTTATTCAGTATGGAACACAACGACCGACTCAGATGCAAGACACACTAACCTACATCCACACCGATGCTTCACAATTCAGGGAGTGCGCATGTCGTCCGCTTCACCATCCGACCCTGCTCCAGGGGAACCTTCTACGCTCTCCCCATCCGCATTACCCGCTTCGCCAGGTGCGACCACACTATTGCCGTGGCGGGGAGCCTGAGAGTTCGCCTTGCCACTCTTCTCCAGCTCAAAAGGTGTGCCTGGCTTGACCCCTATGTCATCCATTGCCTTCCGCCATTCCCTCCACCGATACCACTGCCGTTTATGCACGAGGTGACGCACGTCATCCTCAATGCACCCCTCAAGCGCAGCCATCTCACCCGCGTTCAGTTCCATGACCTTGGGAAAGGTGTCCTTCCTCCGTATCACGAATGCTCCAGCGGCGTAAGCGTAAGCCGCGTCCTCCTCCCTCTGGTATGCGCCCAGCCGAACCTGACGGCATGTGCTCGGATCGGCCGTTAACTTTGTGCACCACTTCCTGACACGCGTCTCAAACCAGACTCCAGTGTACTCGCTCGTGCCACCCCTCTTCTTCTCCCCTATGCCAGCACCCGCTTTTGCCCTCGCCGCTGCAGACCGTGTCTTTCGCATCTCACCGACCTGACCCTTCCCTGGTGAGGTATCAGGTGTGTTCGGGCCGTTCATCTCCGTGCTTTCTATGCGCGCCTTGAGGGCCGCGTCGGTCTCATCCTGATGTTTGTGGGACCATATCGCGGGGGAAGGAGGTAGAGGCTCTGGCTTCTCGTGCAGCATATCGGCCAGCATCTCCTTGCAGGCCTGACGCTCTGCCAAGTTCTCAGCCGCATGTGATCGTACGAGAAGAGGCGTCCCACACGTGCCCAGCTCGTGAGCACATGCTGCCCGGAGCTCATTTAGGTTGTACCCCAACGCCCTGGCTATGCTCGTGATCGCCGAGGCCATTACGAACCCGTCCAGCTCCATGTTGGTTCGATCACGCGATAGCCGTGCCAGTTCCAGGCGCACGTCATCTCCCCTTGGGAACAGCAGCACCCCCTGGTCACCGACTACTGGAATCGGCTGAAGGGGCACCACAACCCCCTCCATTAGCAGTTGCACCATCAGCTCTCCAGCGGCGAGACTGCATACATCGGCGCGCATGCCGCGTCTGAAGTCTTTCGCTGTAACACCGTCGCATGACACCCACTTGCGAACCGTGGTGAAATCCGACCTCACGAGAGCTTTCATGTACATGCACACAAAAACCCCACAATCCTTGTCGTTGGTCTGCTGCGGAATCACCTCTTTCTGCCAGGATGGTATAGTGGGTAAGAGTCGTCAGAAGGCAATGCATGACAACACTCCAACACAATACATCGGTTCGTCATAACAGCGCGGATTTTACGACTTCAATATAACTTACCGGTATGACGATGTGCTCAGCTTCCCGCACCATCGCAGCAGCCTTGCCAGGGTTGTCTGTTGGCAGCTGCGTCTCGTGAATCATGAGCAGTGTCCTGTGTCATGCAGACGCAATATTGAGTCGTGTTTGCGTCAAATACCTGCGTACATGGAGATGCACAATAACACTACGCACTTACTTCCTCACACCCGCGATGACAGACGGGTCCCTGGCGTGCATGCCGCTGTTGTCATAATGCATCAGCTTGACACCTTCCGTCACCCTGTCGCCCCGTTTGCCCGACGACATGCTCGCAAGGTTGAGGGCTATGACCAGCGAGAAGTGGCTCCTGTCCAGGCAGCAGAGGGCAGGCCAAGATAATGAGGTCCGAATTGGGACCGGTGTGCAAGGCTATACAGGCGTCCATACTTTGCACCCACCTTGCAATGATAGGTATGGCCACGTAGTCCACGTCGAAAATGCACGGAGCCCCTCCCATAGGCCATGTCTTATCCAGTTGCGTAGCGTACACGAAGGATTTGGTGTCGAGCGGGAACCAAGTCTTTCCGTCCTTCAGTTTCGGATGTCGGATGTTGAGGAGGCTGCATGCGCAAACACAACACTCAAATCAATGGTCAGATACATGCGCAAAGGAGGACAAAACCATGCCCGTACAACGCCATGTTATCTCTTACATGTTGTGGAAGTCCACGATGGTGTCGGCGAGATACTTCCCGTCTGCGGTAGTTAGCGCATCCTTCGCCGTGATCTGACATCCAACCCCGTGAGGGCCGAAGAGGGAGAGAGTTTTGAAATCTCGACGCGCAGCAGGATCTCGAAGCCTCTTGATCAAGTCGTCTGGCTGGTCGTCTACGGGCGACCCACTGCCTCCGACGTTCCACCCCGATGCAGTTGACCGGGGCTCGCGCTTCTCACCCGCGCATTTATGCACGCCGCCATCATGGTCAGTTGTCACCGTTCTAAGTGGGCGAGTAAGCATACGGTTCAAAAGGCCCGTGACGTGAGGACCGCGTGGCGGAGACCCTTCCCTGTCCTCGCGCTCAAGTCCCCGTCCACGAATTCTCATGGTGCCGGACGCAACTGTCAAAGGACGGAGTGGATTTGGCCAGATGCGAGTTAGACAGGACAGGCAGAAGCATGAGACTTATGTCTAGCTGCTCTATCCTCTATACGGACACTTTTGGCCGTTGAGGAGCAATAGTAGGGAGATGAAGGGGACAGATTGCCTGTAGGCCAGACTTCGGACACGGAGAGACATCACATCCCGCTTCCACGTGTCTGATGGTGGTTATTGCGCGCCAAAATGGATAGTTCTCGATCCGATGCTTACAGCTTCAGTTCGTGCTATCCAATGAATATTTGTGTGATGGGTAATAGTGTCTTTCATAAACAAAATCATTTCACACTTGCACAGCGCGGAAAATCAAGATTATAGCGAAGCCGCCGCACATCAGGATAAGGCAATCAACCTTTGCCTAGCTGTACTTTGACTGGACATGCAAAATCGGACCAGCATGCCGGTGTCGATGGATACTGCGGATGGATTCTGAACCTTCTATAGCGAGTTTCGACATCCAAAAGCAAATTTCAAAAACACATAAACACACAAACCTAACTACAAATAGTTCTATCCACCCGGTCCCCTGCCGCACACGGGTAGTGGTTGAACCATAGACAATCGCTAATAGCTACTACCACTGACGGAGGAAACAATAGGTGAGCTAAAGCAGAGGAGGGCGGCTGTGTCGCCGCTAGAGCTGTCACTGCATACGGTACTCCCATGTCCGGTGGTCGCACGGCGTGCGCGTTTAAGGGGAGTCCGTCGTAGACGCGACACCACTTCGTCGTTTTCGACCCCCACTTTCTCCGGGACGTCGCGTGGACTAATGCCCATGACCTCCGCAGTGCGGACAAACGACTGCGTCACCGCGCGCACAACGCGCCGACGGGACCTAGGATCACGGGAAATTGTGCCTTCGGGCATGGGGAGCAGTGATGCCGGTCCTGCCGCGATAGACGCCTCCATGGGCATCGGCCGTCCAGCGGACGACAGCAGGCGCCCGTCACACGCGGCATAGTCCGTCGCGGCCATGAAGCCCGCTGCACCTTTGGCGAAACGGTCGATTAGGAGCTGCAGCTGTACCAATTGCTTGATGAGGGGCTCGCGAGTCACAGCCGTAGGAGGGTACTCAGTTAGGTGGAGGAGCTCGCGCCACGCCAGGGGCATAACGCCAGACCGGGCCCACGTGAGATGCACCGCCCAAGGCGGTGTATGGCGCCACGACCTTCCCACCCAGACCAGCAAGTTGTCGTACAGAATTAGAGGCATTATCCCCTCCGCACGCCAACCGTCGTCAGTGGTTACGAAGGACAAGTAAATGGTTTTGAACATCTCGAGAAGGCCGTTGAACCACGGAAAGTTGACTGGATCCACAACACCACTTATGTTAACTATTAATGTGTTGGACAGCTCCTGTATGCGGAACCCAAACCGTACGACATCCTTACAGGACGCGTCCAGAGAGCGATGCATGCTGCTGGAGACGAGCACAAGAGCCGTCTTGTTGTGTGCGAGACGGTCTCCATTGAAGTTGTCAATGTACTCGCTGAAGAACTGCGTCGGGGAAACCGAACGGGAACGGTTAGAACAGGCGAAACGGACGCAACGACGTGCACAGAGCGCGTCCTACGAAAAACCATTAGTCATACCTCTGCGGACAACTGTCCGTTCTTTGTCTGACGAAGATGCACGTGGTCGCCATCACGGAGGAGGTGGCGGTACGGACGAGCGCAATTGCGTCGCCTGACCACGGTCGGTGGCAGAACCATACTCCCCGATGCGTTGAACAGGATACACACGCGCAGCTCGACCCTTGGCTTGTACCCCGATTCCGGGTCGAAGTTACTGCTGTAAGGCAGCGTCGTTGCGAGCAAGGGGGTCTCCGCAAAGCAGAACGCGTCGTCTGGATGGGCTTGAAATGACTCCAGTAGACGCACCAATGCAGCCATGGCGGAGTAGCGTATGATGCACGCAAAGGGTGGACGCAGAGATATAAGACTCACCGGTACGCGAGTGACGAGAGGGAGGCGTGCAAGCTGGTGGACGCCAGTGTGTCCACCATCGGAACAATATCCTCCTGCAGCCCAATAGATAGCAGTGTGACACGTCACAGACACAGCTGGTGGACACCGATTTGTCCAGAAAGGGAATGGAGTACACCCGGAGGATGAGGCTCGTTAGTGTCCACTAGGCGAATACGCCGTGTGGACAGATGGTAGACACTGCTGCGGGATTGGCGTATACACTCCGCCAGCAATGCTATTGCACTACTCTGTGAGATTTGTGGATGGTTCACTATAAATTGTTCCAGGGATGCGATTGGCGGGTATGCAACTTACATCCTGGACTAGACCACACAGCACGCCGACAATGTTGTAGAGTCAGTTGAAGGCGTGGAACACGTTAGCCAGGTATAACACCGATTTTAGCTTGTGCATTAAAACATTAAATGACGCAATGTGTAGACTAGTGTACTGCAGAGAGATGGTAGGGGGTGTGCGTAATACCGCACGCCCGCAACGGGAAGACGGGAATGTGGTTTGCTAGTCCTTTAGGTAGGGTTTCTCTCCCCATGTCCAGATGTTGCTGTCATTTCAACCCTAATAGTCCTGAGCCTGACATCCCTAGAGATTTGTAACAATACTGGCGTAAACTATCTGCGCCTGGGAACGTCATTAGTACACATGTCGACCATCGAGTGCCCACGATGTGGCGCTGCACTACTTAATGAAATAGCGCTCACAGCGCACCGGGCCCACAGTGTTCATTGTGCCGGCCGTAGCGCGCCCTCCGCGTTTCGTGCGCCATTATTTTTTTCGGCGGAAGCACGGCGAGCAGATGACGTGGCGGGTGAGGCCGGCGAGGAAGGTTCATTACAAAGCGGTGTTCGACAGCTGAATTGGCTAATTAGCCGTTGGCACCTCGGAGGACTGTCAAGCCGGGACGTAAACGGGCTGCTGCGGACCATAACGAACCCACGCTTTTCTCCCCGACATATACAGCTTGGGGGATTCGTACGCGGCGAATAAGCATGCTACCGGGGAAGCGGTGAACGCGGGTGGTGCACGACTCTAAGTCGCATGAGGATATGCCAGTATATATGCTTTGTTGTGCGTGGACCAGGGGAGGATGCACGGGCAGCGTTTTAGTGATCGCTGTATTTCAACTACCTTTGCACGAATGACGTTTTTGGACTGGAATGGTGTAAGAGGGCATTGTGGTATGTTGGAAAGATGTGTCTATGTGATTTATGTTGTTGGTGAGCGATTTAATGAAACTTGTCGCGAAACAATGTTATGCTTGTGACGGAGTGCAGCACACAGGAAAACGGACCACACCATATGGCACTTGTATAACGGATGGCGGAACAAGCACATGTACACGTTGCAACAGGGGGTTGGTGGTACGGTTAGAAAGGGTTGGGGTCGTACTCCACAGACCGAAACACGTTCGCGTTTTGTTCCGGAAAACCGTACGGTGGATAGGCAGACACTGGCACTGCACACATCCGGAACATTGACCATCAATGAGATGGTCAGTTGGTTGATGACCGAGTGGAGTTAGGGTTTCCTATAACCAGAAGTAACAATGCTGGGCAACGCGTGCGAGGCGTGCGGGGCCGAGCACGCGGATGATAATACGCTGCAGTCGCACTTGGCGGGCAACATACGATGCAGACGTAAGATTAACCACGCTAGGGCGGAGTGGCTCGTGGAGGCGTACAGAGAGGCAGTACGAGCCATGCGAGGCGAACGCCTCCCTTCACCTGCCAGGTCCCGTCATTCCGATGCTGCTGGTGAGGCAGGCGGCAGCGCTCGCCAGCATGTGGCAAGTGAGGATCCGCTAGCTGATGCGATTGCGCAGAACGAAGATGCGCAAAGTGACAGCACTAGTATTGACGACGGCTTCGACACTCTGACGGAGCTGTACATTTTTTTCCGGGACGCTGACCTTTCTAGAAGGGAGGTTAACAGATTGCTCAACATCTTTGCGAACCCCCGCTTCTCGGTCCGAGATGTGCGACGGTGGATGAACTTCGTCGACGTGAGGCGGTTCGGGAAATTGATGGCTCCACCAGATCTTGTGCCGTGGCAGAAGACCGTTATCAAATGCTACGGTCCAGGTGGACAGATGGCAAACCTCCCGCTACATTTCAGGAACACGGAGCTGGTGAGTATGGGGCTCGAGACATGTGGGGCGGTATTAGTGGGGAGACACTTGGCATGGCGTGGGGGTTTAAGGCTGAGGGTGTTGTTCTCTATGGATGCGTTGTGCAGTTGGTGCAGAAGCTGGTGCGGACCTTCGTACACTCCGAGGGATTTGTGACGGAGCCGCGGAGGGACAAGGAGGACAGCGCGGAAAAGAGGCATTTTAGCACCCCCGACACAGGGGTATGGATGGAACAGGCACATGCGAGGAGGCCGGATCAGCAGGGGATCATTTTGGGGGTGATTGTGTACAGCGACAGTACACACGCGAGTGCCAACGGAAGGCTACAAGCGTGGCCCGTACTTATAAGTCTGGTGAACATCCCAGAGGCGCTGCGATGGTTAGAGCTGGGCCATGTCATGGCAGGCTTGTTGCCTTTCCCACCTGACTGGGCCACGTCCACCGAGAAGACCCGTGTGTTTCAGGAGGCGATGGCGATTATATTCGAGCCGCTGTTGAGAGAGCACCGAGGGTGAGACGGCAGTGGCATGGGGATGTTGCGTGTCATGTATGCGTGGAAGGAGATGCATTGATGTCGCAACGTGATTTGTTTGATGCAGTTCCGAGCTGAAGTTCATATACGTGACAGATGCACAAGGCCAAGTGGTGAAGGCCTTCCCATGCTTGTTTGCAGAGGTGGGGGACTACCCTGAGTCGTCCAGGTGCACGGCGACAATGCAGCAGGGTTCCCACAGGCCGTGCAGCTCGTGCTACATCAAGAAGACCAGTCTGGCAGACCTGAAGACGGAGACGACTGTCCGGGCGGTGGAACTGCACCGGAAGGTGGTGTCGTGGATGCAGAACGCATCCACGAAGGACGAGGCTGACAAGATCAGGAGTCGATGGTCGACACACCCCGTGCAGGTCAGCTGGGTCCGAGGTCTCTGTTATGGGGCGGAATTAGAGTGTTGTCCTTTAGTGGCGTAGGTACGGGTTAATGGTTGTGTCTGTTGTGGGGTTCGGTTGATGGCAGACGGTACTGGAGAGGTGGAATTTCTCGGAGACAACCTGGGGGAACGTGTTTCTTGCTTGCGTGGCGGACGTGCTGCATGTGTTGGACGGGGGGTTCCTTGGACACATGGTGGACGAGTTCATTTCTCCACTCAGCAAGCCCGAGAGGGGGGAACTGGAGAGGTGGGTGGTGAGTGTGTATGTCGTTTGCATACGCGTAGTGTCAAAATGACTTCATATTAAGGCTTCAGGGGTGTCCATGTGCAGGCGAAAGAAGGAGCAGAAGAAGGAAACTCGCACCACGGTGGTCAGGATCCCGGGTGGTAGTTCTTGGTTCAAGTCACGGGCTAACTACGCGGCGTTCGAGAACAGGGGCATGATGCAGGTCATGCTGATACTCATTGCGGACAACATGGATGGGTGCGAGCCTGATGTGAAGGAGCAGCGGTTCAAGGAGGTGAGGGCGTTCAGGAGGTACGCGGTGTTCTACAAGTCGCTGCTCGGCGTGAACAAGCACACCGAGAGGACACTCAGCGACGTGCGGCAGAATGCGTACTTGTGAGTGTGGTCATTTGTGGTTTCTGGTGCGGTATGGGGGGCCTTTGTGGGGTACAGAATGTGATTAGGACGAATTGGTTCCCACGTTATTGCGGAGGGGTGTAGTAGTAGCACGGTGGAACTGAGGCATGTTTGGATGCTTGGTTGGGGGGACGCCGTATCATGTACGGTCTTGGTGTCGTTGTGCAGGATGATGGACGCAGTGCAGGAGGCCTTTCAGTCGCAAGCGTCCGTGTGGAACTTACCGAAGGTGCACCAGATAGTTCATCTCATTGACGGCATCATGCTCCGCGGGATGCCGTACGAGTACTCAACGAATCTGTGGGAGCACACTCACAAGGGCACTGTGAAGGTCCCCGTGCGCGGTAGCAACTGGAAGGACATACCCCGACGCATCGTGGAAGAGGAGGTGCAGCGGGAGATCACACGTGAGGTGGCGGCCCTCGCAGGGGGAGGAAGGCAGTACGTCAGTGCGCTGCGTGAGGTGAGCTGTCACAGTCGGCGGGCGTAGAGGCCGGGGACGTAGAATGCATGAAGGACGAGGATGGAGATGTCGGGGGGGAGGCGACATCATATCGATGTATGCAGTGGTGGGGTTAAATGTCGTGGAACGCAGGGGGTGTGTAGGTGTCCTGCTAATTATGCGTGACACGCTTAGGTGTCGATCTCATGGGTTATTTAATCCGGTGGAATATGTGCATAACGCGGGAGTCCTTCATGTTCAGGCGGTATGGCTTCAGACGTATGTCCTGACGCGGAAGTCGAGGAATGCGGACGTTAACGACGGGGAGGACGCAGTGCTGTGGGCGTACAAGGAGGCGCTGGGATCAGACATGAAGGAGCTTGGCAGGTGCCTGGCTGTTGCTGGAGTGACGAACACGGGCATCAAGGTGAGCACGGTCGTATACCCCCTTGTGCTGTGCGTGTAAAGTGAGCGGTGAAGTAACATGACAGGGTAGGGGGGTGTTCGCGCGGTTAATTTGATATGCCATGTGCTGAGCTGCGTGTGTCATGCGCGTGTACAGGTCCACACGGCGGTGGCCATTCCGCGGACACGTGGTGGGGAGCTCATCGCAAAAGGCACGTTTGTGAAGGCCAGCCCGTCCGAGAAGTGGTTTTCGGACGTCGCAGTCAAGGCGAAGAAGGACAAGGAGGAGTGGTACGCACGATGCATGTGCGTGTTCCGCGCGACTGACGAGGAGGGGACGGAGGGGAGGTACGCCTATGTGAAGTACTATGAGGCGGCGGGCTTGTGCCCCATGACAACATGCGTGCAGCTAATCCCTGGAAGGGTTGCCACACGCTACTCTGTGGTGGATGTGGAGTGCATTAAGCGAGTGGTGCATGTGTGCAAGTCGTATGTGAACAGGAAGGTCCTGCTTCTGAACAAGTTTCTGCTGTGTGAGTAGGGGATAGTGGTGTCAGTTGGACGCGCTCGCGGACGTGTTGATAGTGACGTGTTCATAGGTTAATGAATATGCAGATTACATTATATGCAGAGATTTATGGGTCATGCTTGTGTTTTGTGCATATGTAAAATGTACACTATACGTGAAAAGTACTTTGAAATGTTGTGTCATACTGTTGTGGCAGATTGTATTCAGGTTGGCTGGATCAGCGACGCGTCTTGCTTTTTTGTGTGTACCGCGCATAATGGCAAGGCGTTCCGATGTGAATTGTGAAATGCGGCTCGAGATGTGCGACGCGACGCGAGAGGGGGCCACCGCGGGGGTCACAAAAAAGTAACAAAATTGGCGGGATGTTTTGGGGGTGTTGTGGGACTTTCTGTGAGCTTTTCCGTAGAAAAACCCACGAGAGCCATATTTGGGTGGCGGCCAAATCCGCGATGAAGCGGCACACACGGCACACAACACACATCACACAGCACAGACGGGTACTGTCTCACAGGCTCGTGACGATTCCATCTGCATTGCACGTGACGTTCAACGTCTGCATTGCAGGCTCAGTCAGCATGCAGTTCCCGCCTGCTGTCCACCCGCTGAAGGTCGTTTTCCACGCCGCCGCGCACTCCTGCAGCACCGCCGCTGCCTCGCAAACGCAGCAAAAAAAATCAGTATTTGAGTCGCCGAAAACATTTGTCATGATGATGCGGACAGCGCAGAACGGCTAGAATGTGCTGATGGCACGGCCTTCCTAACGCGCGAGGCACAGACCGCGGCGTGACGGTCAAACTGCACAACCACCAACTGGCCCCACCTTGGGACACTTGTAGCCGAACTGCGCTACAGACGTGCGCAAGAAGCGCCATTGCCGCCACCACCAACACCTGCGCACGCGCGCGGGGACGCGGATTCATGGTATAAGACCGCCATTCGCGCGCGCGCCCCGCCGTTTTCTGGCCTTTCGAGATGAACGCTGTTTGCTTCGCCATGGCCTCCCACTGGCAGTCAGTAGGTTGTTGTTATCAGCGGGGAAATCTAAGATGCAAGGGAGTAGAGACCGAAGCTGTGTGTGTGAGACTTGGAGTGCGAGTGATCTGATAAGTGACCAGAATGAGACATGACTGGTTGGGTGCAACACCAAGGGTTGATATGGTGACGTGGTTATGGTCTTTTCGTTTCCCAAGGTACAGTACAGTATCTCCATAATCCCTTTACTGCAGAGATCTGGCGAATCCACCACTGATTCAAGTGAACTCCAGGAAAAACCATTCCGCATGCAGAGAATGAATGATGGTGACACGATGGTAGCATTCTGAGTGGACCTAGGTGTTGTTCAGTAACCTGGCATACTTTGATAAGGAGTGGCGTAACAGGTTCAAAGAGGGTGGTTCTACGATGATAAACGAGATCCAAATAAATAAGTTAAGACTAGGACCCCTGAATCACCCGGGGTGATGACCTGTGAAATCATCGTAATCTGAACAAAAGAGGGGTGTCGGGGGAAAACAGCGCCATTGTGTGTAAATCAGACACTTTGAAGTGAGAAATGCCGAAACTCTTCCACGGTAGCTGGGCCAGGATCAAGTCCCATAAGACCTATTCTTGGGCGAAAGACGATAGAACCTTGGAAAAAGAGAGGCACGAGACTACTGTCCCCCTAGCCAGCAATGTTCGCCGCTGATTGTACACGTAGCTGTGAAGATGCACCTCGAAATTTGAGAGATTTTGCACGCGCCTCGGTGATTCGAATTTGCGTGCGACACTGCGAGCTGGTTTGTGGGTTTCACTGCACCTCTGGCGTTTACACATGATGCCCGCGAAACGGCCCACTTTCAACACGCCCACAGACAACCGACAGGAGCAGCGGTCAACATAAAACGCCAACATAACCAGCCAACGGCCCACAGCCTACACGCCCACGACAAAACCCCCAAAATTTGACCTAGAATAAGTTAGCCAAATCACCCACGCAAAACACTCGAGGCTACCCAAGATTTCAGAACTGTAGTTCAAATTGTAACCACACTCCTACGAACAGGCCCAATTTGCCCCTGATTGACGCGAGTGCGAGACAGGAGCAAAATGAAAGATGGGGAAGGGGAGTGAAAGGGGCATCATGTGCAAGGTGTGGAACTGCAAGACTTTCAAGAACGTGAACTCTACAGTGCCAATGACAACGCCGATGCCATTGGACCCCCGGTGATTCCGGGGGACCGTCATGACTGCATGACAGTTACAGTCGATGCTCAGCCTATCACAAAACATTTGCTCCTCACAATTAGAAATTTAGTCACTCGCGAACGTTTTGCCCGTGAGTGACTAAATTGACCATTGTGCCGATTTCGGGGTACAGTCACCAAGTTGAGGAAGAAAAACATCTACAGTACGTAAACAACAACGGTTGCCCGTCATCAGAGAAGTTAACCTGGTTACAAAATTAAAGCCCTTGACTCGATTCACGTTGCAATTTCATGTTACTGTCACATTTTTGCCCGTGGCGACAAGGGCGAACGTGGCGAAACGGCTAAAACTCGTTTCACGCACATGCCGCCCGCCTACCTGGTGTTCTTGAAATGGGCACCGACTGTACACTGGGAAGCACTGGCTACAGTGCGTACTGTAGCGTACTGTTGCTTGGACCCTAGCGATCTGGTGCTTGCAACCGAACGCCAGGTAGGTGGCGGGCAAATGGACTCCAGAGGAACGGTACACAACTTTTTATGGAAGAAAAATTGCGTTTGAGTACGGTTGAGTGCGGCAAATGTGCTTATATGGTATGTTCTGGGACCATTCTGGACGCATTGATGTCAGTACAGCCGGTCCGTCAATATGGCCAATGTCAGTCTGGCGAGAGAGAGGGTGTAGTCCGCTTGTTTTCACTGCAACAGCCATAGCATCTACGCAAGTGGGAGTGCAGGACTTTCAAGGAGTTGTACGAGACATCAAAAGCAATCTATATTAGGGGGCTACACCTGTCCTGAGTTAACAGCATGCATACATACAAGTAACCTAAATCAGATAGAAAAGAATCCTCAATCGGGGAACTCATTGCAAACTACAGATTCAGTCTCCTACAGACTCCCACCTCCCACACAGACGTCTCTGCATCCACGGGACACCATCCTCCTCCCAACTGCCCGATGCCCACCTCGCCCTCATCTGGGCCGCCCCTGATCCTCTCTCCGTTTGCACAGCCGAGGCATGTGCCTAAGGACAAAGAGAGGGGCAAGGGAAAGAATGGAGGGTGCCTGTACCACTACTCATCTAATTGGTTGCTGAGAATTCTCAAAACCAACGTTGCCGCAACTCGTCTGTCACAACCCTTTGCTTAACTTCTTCCGCCACGAGTCCCTCGTTTCGAGGCGATCCCTCGAGCATTTAACCAACTCCGACTCTCTCTCGAACGGTCCTCTATACATCTGTCAAAAAAATACCGCTGTCCTCTTCTTCCATGAGCCAATCGAGCTTCGCATCTAGCGCATTCTGACTGAAACCCCCAGAAAGCCCATCCCCAGACTCTCCACCCTGCTGCTCTCCAGCCCCCCCACCGCCGGCAGCACCGGCGGTGTCACCATCCCCGCCCGTCCCTGCGTTGGCCGGCAGGGCAGGGCGCGGGTGGGCGGAGAGGGAGCGCTTGAGAGCCTTGATGGAGCAGAGCAGGTCGGTGACAGTGGGGCGGGAGAGGGGGTCGGAAGCGGTGCAGGAGAGGGCGAGGCGCACCATGGGCAGCACGATGGCGTCGGGTGCTGAGGGCAGGTGGGTGGCGCGCAGGCTGGCCGTGATGTTGCGAGTTATTAGGTGATGTGCCTGCACAGGGATGGGATTTATTGACGTGTTCGGCGGGAATAGGTGGAATGGAATGGGTGCGTGAGAGTTTGTTATGGATACATAGAAGCGAATGCGCTGGTGTCATGGTGTGGCGCGGCGTGGTGTGGCGGGTGCGTATTAAGTTGAGTTGTTCAGAAAAACTCACCGGCAGAAGCAGTCAGTGAAGCATGAAGGTGCATGGTGCATTGGCATTTAGAGAGTGGGAGCCCAAGTGCGGTGTGCGGTTCGCTTTGCAGAGACAACGAGAAGTAAATCCCTGGGAGTCCACACCACACCGCACGCACTCACCCAGTCCCGAATGTGCACTGAGGTGCTGCTGGCACTATAGCCGCTGCTCATACTGCTGCTGCTGTGGCTTCCCGTGCCGATGCTGTTGCTACTATGGCTGCCTGTGTTGATGCTGTTGCTACTATGGCTGCCCGTGCTAATGCTGTTGCTACTATGGCTGTCTGTGCTGATGCTGTTGTTGCTGTTGCTGCTACTGCCACCACCGCTGGAGCCAGAGCTGTTGCCTTGCCGATTGTTGCCTACAGCTATGGGGATCAAGGCTGGCCGTCCAGTGATGAGCTGCAGCATCACCACACCAATGCTGGGGGGGTGGGGGGATGGAGAAGAAAGTAGGGGCAGGAGGAGGGAAGAGAGAGAGGCATTTCGGTTCGGCTGGTGCAGCCAGCAAGCACGTGCAGTCAGCAGCAGAATATATGGTTCCTGTATTTGTGCAGGGCCTAACAGGTTAGCAACATCTGGTTTCTCGCACAGTGTAAGCTATAGGAGAGAAGGAGGTGGGGGGAGGAGACGGGAAGAGTGAGGGGACAGGGAGAGGTGTGTCAATAGGTGTGGGAGAAACACAGTTGTGAAGCCTTGTCCAAAGTGGATACAAATGTGTGAGTAGGAGTTGAGTTGAGCTGAGCAGCACAGCACGGACCTGAAAACGTCCGTGGTGGGCGTGGTGCGAGCAGAGGCATGCAGGATTGGGTCCATGTATGCATGGCTGGCAGGTGGCCGTACTGCTGGTGTGACTGATGCCGCTGCTGATGCTGATAGTGATGCTGGTGGTGCAGGTGCGGGGATGGATGGAAGTGGGTCGCCCATTTTCACGGCCGTGCAACCAGCCAGGACAGCCTGAGGAGAAGGAACGGGGATGGGGTGGTGTGCGAGATGAGGGGCAAGAAGCAGTGTGAATGCAGGGGTCAAGGGAGAGGCACAGCTGATGGCTGGAGGGATGAGGTGGATGAGTTGGGAGTATGGGAAGAAGCGAAGGGTGTGTGGCAGAAGAATAAAGTGTCACTGCAACTACGTGTCACTGCACCTACGTGTAACGTCACCTGCCCGGCAGACGGGAGTTCACGCAGGGCAAATAGGAGTTCACCTGCAGGGCAGATGGAGTTCACCTGCTGCAGGGCAAATAGGAGTTCACCTGCTGCAGGGCAAATAGGAGTTCACCTGCTGCAGGGCAAATAGGAGTTCACCTGCTGCAGGGCAAATAGGAGTTCACCTGCTGCAGGGCAAATTGGAGTTCACCTGCAGGGCAGATGGAGTTCACCTGCAGAGCAGATACACTTCACCTGTGTGTCACTCAGCACGTCACCTGCAGCGCGGAGTCTAGCAGGATGTTGCGTGGGAGTATGCGGCCATGCACGACCCCATGGCTCTGGATGTGCTTCAGCCCTCGCAGCACACCTGCGGTCACATCCAGGCACTGCCACACCGACAGAGGCGAGCAGCCCTCTGCATGGCGGGAGGCAGAGGGGGGCAGAGGGGAGTAGAGGCAAGCAGAGGGAAGCAGGAAGGGGCAAAGGAGGGAAGAGGGGAGTAGAGGGGAGCGATGAACCCAGAGCACATGAGTGTCTTCGTTGACCGAACGGAAGTGGCGTGGAGTGATGAGTTCGCAACTGGTTGTTGAGATTTCCCACTAAAATCCAGTGTGAGGAACGTAGGATTGGCACTAACGCAAAACGTGGAGCGGGCGTGTGCATTTGTGTGTGTGAGTGAACGCACCTGCAACGAGGCGGCTGTGCAGGTTGCCTCCTGGCACCCACTCAAACACTAGCACCTGCTCCTCTGCTTGCTCCAGAGCATGAACGGAAGCGGCAGGAGCAGAATAGGCAATGGCCTTCTCAGCACCAGTACTCTTGGTGCTATCAGCACTGCCAGGTTTCTCCCAACAGTAACCCAGCAGTCGCTGCAGGTTGGTATGGCGGATGGACCAAAGCGTGGCCACCTGGGCAGAGGAAGAAACACCCAGAATAGAGAGCTTAAAAGGGCAAGATATAAGGGGTACAGCATGGTACTGGCATTGGCACCAAACCGGTCGCAACAGCAGCCGCGCCATCGGTAGTGGCAGAAGCAGCAGCAGCAGCAGCAACAGCGGAGAACCATCCCCAGCTCGCTCACCTCTTTCTGAAAGTCTGTGGAAAGCTCGTCGTTGCCGCGCCTCACTACGAACCACACCTGGCGGGCATCGAGAGGACTCACTACCTTGTACCTCTGCCCTCCACTGCTGCTGCTGCCAATAATGCTGCTAGTGGTGCTGTTGCTGATGCTGCTCCACCCCTGCTTCTCCAACCAATTGACCTCACTCCACCCACCCGTTGCTTGTGCCACGAGAGACACGGGGAACTTGGGACAGCGGGCGCGACCGAAGACACGGGATGCTGACGTGGGGGAAGGAGAGGGGGAGAGAGAAGAGAGAGGGGATAGGGGAGTGAAAGTAGGAAGGAAAGCGAGTGGGGAACTTGATGGTGAGATGATGGTGAGACGGGACTCTGGCAACACCGGAAACAATGATCGTGGCTTGCTGTAGCAGTGGTTGCAAGAGCAGCAGTGTGTGGGGCGCAATGCAGAGCACTGTGTTGCGGAATGATAACCACAATGGCATCAAAGGAGGAACTATGAGGGCACCTTCAATAGCAGAGGAGGCTGCGGAAGGAGAAGCAGCAGTGGCAGAGGCAGTAGCAGCAGTGGAAGCGGTAGTAGCAGCAGTTGCAGCAGCCGTGGAAGGTGGGGCAGCAGTGTGTTGTTTATAGGAAAGCAGATGATGAGAGATGACGGGAGAGCAGAAGAAACGGCCGCCAGACGACACCCTTACACGGATGAGGCGAGGCACCACAAGTGGCACGTACCCCTTAGTGCCAGCCATGCCACACACATACTTCTTGGAGTTGTGGCACGGTACAGAACTTGATCTTACCTGAGGCAGCTAGTAATGGCTGCTGTTTCGATCCCTGGGCCCCCCCTCTCACATACGCAGCAGCCACGACAGCGGCAGCAGCAGCAGCCACAAGCAAAAACGCTCCCACGGATATCCCCACGATTGCAGAGGTTGACAAACCGGTGGAGGGTGGAGGAGCAGGAGGAGGGGCGAGCGGAGAGGAGACGGCAAGAAGGGATGACAGAGGTGGGGGTGGGGGGCTCATGAGTGCGAGGCTGGGAGGGAGAGGAGGTGAGAGGGGTGGTCGAGGAGGAGGGTGGCGGCGTTGGCCTGTGGGGAGAGAAGGGGGGGAGGGAAATGGGGCGTGGAGGGATTGTGGAGGGGAGAGCAGCAGTTGATCTGGCGAGCTGTGGTGGCAAGATGACTGTCAGGTGGGAAGATGACTGTCAGGTGGGAAGATGACTGTCATGTGGGAAGATGACTGTCAGGTGGGAAGATGACTGTCAGGTGGGAAGTTGACTGTCAGGTGGGAAGATGACTATCAGGTGGGAAGATGACTGTCAGGTGGGAAGATGACTGTCAGGTGAAAATGTAGATATCACATGGAGCAAGGTGGCTATGAGAAAACATCACGAACGGGCACGAAGGAACATGAGGAGCCTTTTAAATTTGAAAGCCGAGTCACACATGCAAGCAGAAAGACAAAGAATCACTTTTTCACCGTTGAGAGGGATGCAGGAGGCACAGAAGTCAAAGCAGAGAACCCGGCAGAAGAAGGAGGAGGCGTTCTGCTGAATCTCACAGCTGCTGCCAGCCCTGCCGCATGTCACCCCTGCAGGGGTGATTCTGAACAGGGGAAGATGTTAAGGGAGCAAGAAAAAGTGTGGAGTCTTGCAGAAACGACAGCAAAGGCAGGAATGACAAAGGACTGGTCTACGTATTATATGTGGAACGAGCATGTTTCCACATTGGTGCTCTGCATTTGGTGACGTACCTGTGCTGTGCACCTGTGGTTCTGTTCAGCTCATTCTGGTCATGAAAGGACCAAACGTGGCATTCATACGGAGTTGGGGCGCTGATGATTAAAGAACTGAGGCGGAATGTATTTGACTTGCCAAAAAGAGCAATGGGTTTTTTTTTTTTTTTTTTTTTTTTTTAATAAAAAGGGGTGAAATCCTGGAGTCAGTGTAGAGATGGAGAGATGGATGGGGGGGGAGAGAGGATGGAATCCAGGAAACTGACGCTTCTGTGATTTTGGGGAGAGCACCAAGGGAGGCTGGCAGCGACCCAGACAAGTTGGTGTTGGCGATGCTCCTGAGACAGGGCGGTTGTGGGGTGAGTGACAGACGGAACAGGACAGGCAGATGGGGTGAGCAGGTGGGCTAACTGGGGGCGATTCAAGATGGCATACTGATAAGAATCGTAACATGAAGTGGTGAATGGAACATATTATAAGGTAGTTGTGTAAATAAGTTGGCGTTTTTTATTTTCCTTTTTGTTGTTTCTTGAAGTTTCGTAGTTGCCTGAGATGGTATGGAGGAAAGGGGAAGGGCTTGGGCAGGGGTGCTTCTGACCTGAGGTGTACACATCGTGCTGTAGTGATGCGAGTACGCCCATGTGTGTGTGCGTGCGTGCGTGCGTGCGTGTGTGTGTGTGTGTGCGTGTGTGCGCGTGCGTGCTCGTGCTTGTGTGCGTGCGTGCGTGCGTGCATGCATGCATGCATGCATGGTGCGGGTGTGCGTGTATGAGAACCCTGGCATGCACACAACCCCTCCCACATACAAGTACACGAGATTGGCGAGCTGACCAATAGTACCGGGAATTGTGCCGCTGAGGCGAGTGTTGGACACGTCACTGGTATGCAGCGCATTGCCATGTGGAGTGGAAGGGATGCCACATGTATGCACGGTCGTATGCAGAGAAAAATGGGAGGGCAGACAACAAGGCATGCAATTGGTGGGATGGTATGATGATTATTTTGAATCCAGAGGCTGCTTTTTGTTTTGCTGCTGTTGGTTATGAAAATGGTGAGAGTTGGGGGGGGTGGGAGGAGGAGGAGGAGGAGGAGGAGGAGGAGGAGGAGGAGGAGGAGGAGGAGGAGGAGGAGGAGGAGGAGGAGGAGGAGGAGGAGGAGGAGGAGGAGGAGGAGGAGGATGATGATGATGATGATGATCATCATCATCATCATCATCATCATCATCATCATCATCATCATCATCATCATCATCATCATCATCATCATCATCATCATCATCATCATCATCATCATCCAAGCAAGAATTACCAGCCAGGGTTCAGAGTGTGTGCACCATACTCTATTGGACTAGTAGTGAGAAGGCAGGTTGCATGTAGATTTGGTATCCTGATCTGATTCGGTTGGTTGGACTACAATCCCATCTCTTTTGTCCCCTGTATGCTATGCTAAGCAGTCAATTCAAGCTCGTTCTGTAACATGAGAGGCAAGCAAATGTCACAATGGCAGCGTGGTGACTTTTGAGTCGACTCAAAAGTCACCTCGTTACAAATGTCACAATGGCAGCGTGGCAGTAGCACAACCAGCAAAGAAGAATCCAAACGCAGGTTCAGGCATGGCACGACACAAAACTGTCACGTCAGGGATGGGAGGGAGATAGGGAGGGCAGGGCGCTGACAAGTAGGTGAGAGAGGAGAGGGCGGAGATGATGGAGGGGATGGATCCTGAAATGCTGGTGTTGGTCAGCGTCCTGTTGGAGGGCCATGGGGGGTGTGGAGCAAAGAGAGAGGAGGGGGTGGAGGAATGGAAGAGGGACGAAATCAAAGGCATATGTGTGAATGGGGAGGGGGAAAGAAAGAGTGGAGAGTGAGATTGGCAGGGAGGAATGCATGTGGTTGGTATGGAGTGAATGCACAAGGAACTAGTTGGTCGTGGATCATTGACACTTGTGCTGTTGACCACATACATGCATGGCATGGCAGCAGCACACTTGGACAGCAGCACACTTGGGCAGCAGCACACTTGGGCAGCAGCACACTTGGGCAGCAGCACACTTGGGCAGCAGCACACTTGAGCAGCAGTGCCCATGCGCAACAGCACTCGTGCAAAGTTACAGAGTTTGGAGGTTCTTGAGTGCCCCGATGGTGGAGGGAATGGGCCCGGAAATCCGGGTGTCGCCAAGGTTCCTGCCACGTGACATGTGGCATGTGGCATGTGACATGTGGCTTGGTTGAGACGCGATGAGACATGTATGTGACACGTGACATGCAACGTGTGGGATGTGCCATGTGCCATGTGGCATGTGACATTGATGAAGGTGTTCGTCAGGGGGTTAGATGCAATGTTGTGAATGCAGCTTTTCTAATCAAGACAAAGGGGGGTATATGGCAGAACAAAACGGAGCAGAGGTGTCAGCAATATTTCCATGAGACTCTGTAGAACATTTTATCACAGCTTAACAATTTTGGGACTGAAAAGATACTGCGGTGTCAAGAGTGATAATTACAGGTTAGCGAGCAGGGAGAGCCGTGAGATGACAGAGGGGATAGGCCCATAGAAATGATTCATGGAAGGATCACTGCAGATAGGGCGGAGGGCAGAGGGCAGAGGGCGGACGGCAAAGGGCAGGGCAGCGGGCAGTGGGCAGTGGGTAGAGAGCAGAGAGAACGACATTGGGTTAGAAACATGGCCGCAGTAGATGTATTTACAAGGTCGCAGGGTAAAGTATTTGTAAAACGAATAATAAGAAAGACTTGTCTGTACCTTTCATCATCATCCTCCCTGCCTGCTCTGCACTGCATTGAACCGCACTGCACCACTCTGCACTATACAGCACCATGCTGCATTGCACTGCACTTCCTCTCTTTTATGTCCCTCCACCCTCTCGCTCTCTGCAGTGCATTGTTGAGAAGCTCAAAGAACTGAGTGTGGCGAGTTTTGCAGTGTCCCAAAGCACGCACGGGGAGAGGAGAGGGGTGCCAGTGTGAAACGCACAAGTAATTGAGCGCGGTGAGGTTGGAGATGCTGGTGGGGATGGTGCCGTTCAGATTCAAGATCCCAATGGACCTGCGACCATGGTGAGAAGCACAAGGTGTTGCCCGTGGGCCGGCAGACAAGAAGGCGTGTTGCTTTTGAGAATTCTCAAAGGACGGGAGGGAGGACGATGCCATGGACCGGACCTAAACGCATTCCCCCCGAAAGGGAGGGGCAGCCCGGGCAACGAGTCATCAGAGGGAGCGAGGACACTCACCACACCCCTTCGAGTTGGACGACAAACACAACCGAATCCCAACCACCCCGGGTCAGGTCGATTTTGAGAAGTCTCAGAATCAACCTCAGGACTCCCAACCCAACATCCTGGCCAACACAAATCGGGCTGCGTCAGCGCCCAAACAATCCCAACCCAGAAATCAAACACCCTGGCGAATTAGCCTCCTGCCAAGATTTGTTCACCGGTGTCGCCACGCCAACCGGACCGGGACGGGACGTTGTGCCATGCCACGCCACAACGTGACAGTCGCCTCGCCGCCACCCTGCGTTAGTCTGACACCCTTCTTGCGCTATTTGCGAGGCCCTCGCAGTCAGCCTGCTGAGGACGCGGCACATGTTTTCATTTTGCCAGGTTCGGGGGAGGATCGGGGGAGGTTCGGGGGAGGTTCGGGGGAGGTTCGGGGGAGGATCGGGGGAGGATCGGGGGAGGTTCGGGGGAGGTTCGGGGGAGGATCGGGGGAGGATCGGGGGAGGATCGGGGGAGGATCGGGGGAGGTTCGGGGGCTCACATCGATCGTGGCACATCGATCGGCACACCGATGTGCCCACACTGCAAATTTGCAGTGGGGTAGACACATCGAGCTATAGGTGCCAGGATCGAAATTGCAGGGTCGGGCAGGTTGGAGCTGCGTCGGAATACACCAACACACTGCAACGCGCAGGCAATCAGGGCAGAGCGTGGTTGGTCACCCAGCAATTTCATTCGCACCGACTCGAGAATTTTTGGTCTGCGACCGTGGGCGACGCCGATCGATCGCGGCTGTCACCTGTGGCGCGGTGTGCTCTCCCGCCAACCCAAACGCACGATCGATGTGTGCGCCACGGCACATCGATCGTGCGAGCTGCAGGTGCCACCATTTTGGGTACCGGTTTACTGTACATTTTCGACATCTTACGAAATACGGATACCAGGCATTAGCGACGTCGCCAATTCACTGTACAAGCGGCACATCAATCCCCTCCCACGATCGATCCTGGCAAATGCCAAACAGGTGCCGCGTCCTGACCTCGCTTCTGCACCTCTCTTCTCTGCCAACCCAGACTGGGGAGGAGGCTAGAGGCTACTCTACTCCTGTTCCGCCCCCGGCTTTTGATGCGCACCTCGATGACGTCACGCCGTCGGGATTGGCAGGCAATGGGTGATGGGAGGTTCAAACGCTTTTCGTTAACTTGACTGGGGGCGCCCTAAGACGCAGTGCGGCGGGCGACAGAGTCACCACCGCCGCCTCGCCACTCCCCAGACGCTGTGGTGGGATGCCTCGCAAAGGCCACGTGACAACGTCCTTTGCGTCCTGCTGCTGCTGCTCGTCCGCCTGTCCTACTGCAGCCCCTCCGCCTGTCCTGCTGCAGCCCCTCCGCCTGTCCTACTGCAGCCCCTCCGCCTGTCCTACTGCAGCCCCTCCGCCTGTCCTACTGCAGCCCCTCCGCCTGTCCTACTGCAGCCCCTCCGCCTGTCCTACTGCAGCCCCTCATCCCTGTACCTATACCTGGACCACGCCTTCGCATCACTGTCCCTGCTGAGCGCCCGGGGCGGGGAGTACAGCAGGGCAACCGGACCCGATATGGGTCCGCTCCTTTTCGCCCGCCAGCATCCACCCCTGTCTCGCCTCAACTGCGACTGCTATGACTCGCCTCCATATGCGGACGACATCACCATCCTAGGGGAGCCGTCCGTCCGCTCCGCCTGGAGCAACGCCTTCAACCACTTCACAACGCCCCTTGCCTCATTAGTCCTTCATCACACACAACCCGGCCACCTTGGTTGGCGCCGACGTCCTCCCACCGGGGGTGAGCTTCTCGGAAACAGGGCTACGCTAAGGGTGCTCGGTAAGTAACCCGGTCGGCCCAACACCCAGATGTGCCGGGTCATTACAGTAGCGCCTCGCCTAGCCGTTACTACTACTGAACCGTTACAGCTGCTAGCTCGGATGGACCCGCGGCTATGCCGCCTCCTGCCTACTCATGTATGTTGTGTCAGCCAGCGGGAGTCATTCCTAGCCCGCACTACACCGCTAGACGCCTTGCCGGAGGAGGAATGGCCGGCTTGGGGAGAGGCCTTCCTTCACACATCACATTCATGCAAGCGTCCCTCCCACATCACATCAGCACACAGCACAGCACGCAAGCCTGAAGAACGCCCGCGGATCTGGCAGCTATCGGCGCTACCGGTAACCTGGGCCTCACAAACCCAGCTATGGAGGGCAGGACAGCTATGCCTTACCTGGCTTCAGTCATCACATCACTACCTCCCACCTGCTGCAGTGCAGTCGCTCAACTGGGTGTTGCACCCAGCAGCAGTAGCTCATCTCCTGTTGAGGCGCAGCCGGCTTTGGAGGCTGGCCGCCGGGATATAAGATGGAGGGTTCCAAATTCCAGAGAGGACTGTTTACTGGCTGTTCCTGGCTACTCAGCCCTCTAGATCACCTTACTCGAGGACTCCTGCCGCATGACTGACTGACTCCCAACCCACCCACTGCACGGCCATACCCAGCGCCTCCTGTCCCTGATAGGACTTTTGAGGCGTCTTTTGAGGCGACTTTTGAGGTGCCTCAAAGGTTTACTCGGACCACTACACCACCTTACTCGGGAACTCCCGCCGCATGACTGACTCCCAACCCACTGCACGGCCATACCCAGGAGCTTGGGGGATTGGCTGATGATGTTGACTTTCGCTCACTGCGGCGTTACAACTTAGTGCGGCGCATTTAGCTATGGCTCTGCCTCGGCCTCCCTCTTCTGGTTCAGTGCCGCCGCTGTTATTGCCAATATGCAAATACCCTCTCTCCGACGACGCTGTGAGGAGGGCAAGGGCAGAAGTTAAACTCACCACACCCTATCACGGATGAATGCACACGGATTGGGGCGAAAGCGGGCTTCACAGTCCACAAGATCCAACATAGACTCCCCGGTTGAGAGCCAATACGTCGCAAAACACTTCGTATATCACATGGCATCGGGCGAAGTAGGGATGTGTGACACCATGGATGTGTGACACCATGGATGTGTTACACCATGGATGTGTGTGTGTCACCGATCCAATTTCCCACCAGGAATTTCTCGCCCACCGAGCCCTCAGTTGGGCAGCAAGGCAAGGGCGACTGCAGCTCACGAGGAAGAGGAGTATGCTAACTGGAACTAGCGTGGCTTGGTTTCCAAGCAATGGCAGTGGAAACACATTGTTACCCTTTGCCCGGGGTGTTCAGCTACCTGTGGGCGTGGCGTTGGCGCAACTCTGGAAAATCTCAGAGAGGAGAAGAGAAGAAGCCTCAAGGATGGCAAAGTCGAAACCGAGAATCGCAGCACAGCACCATGCGCACAGCACACGAGACGCAACACACAGGACGCAGCACAAAGCGCACAGCAGACGCAGCGCACAGGCGGAGCAAGTGCACAGCAGTCAGCAGGCACAAGGCAGCAGGCAGCGCACGCGGGTACAGAGTGTCTCACATGCTGTCGACCATTCCCTCTGCATCGCACGTGATCCCCTCAGCTAGCAAGCAGTCCGCGCCTGCCGTCCACCCGCTGAAGGTCCTGTTCCAGGCCGCCGCGCACTCCTGCAGCACCGCCGCTGCCACACAAACGCGGGAAACGCGGGCAATTGCGGGCAATTCAGGAGAAATTGCGGGCAATGCGGCCAGCTCGGGCAACGCAGGAAGCGCGGCAGACTGTGCAGCGCACAGCCGAGGGATCACGGGATGGCAACGCCGCTAGGAATGGGATGGGCAGTGCCGCTGGCTGAATCCACACAGCACTGCACGCTACCGCACAGCACCACTGCACAATCCCCCACCTTGGGACGCCTGTAACGGAACTGCACTACAGACGTGCGCAAGAGGCGCCATTGTTGCTACCACCAACACCAGCGCGGCACGCGCGCGCAAAGCATGAATACATTGGTAAAACAGCGAATCCACGGTAAAATTCAGCCATCCGCCGCGCGCGTCCCCCGCCATCTTCCGCCCGTTCACACCTTCTTCTGGGAAACTAAATTTCAGAGGAACGGCTTCCGAAAAGCCTCTAGTGATGAGCATTGCTCCGTCATGGCTTCGCAGACTGAAACAGGAGCTACGGCGCAGCGACGCACGGCGCGGCTGGCCTGGCCGGCCTAGCGACCAAGGAGAGGCGCCGTAGCTAGAAGAAGGAAGAACGTTGGCAGCGGAAGGGAGGCAAAACTAGGCTAGTGAGAGATGCCTAGCTCTGGAGTCTTAGATGAGAGATCAAGAAGTAGAAAGTAGATTCCAGAATGAGATGATACAAGAAGATCCAGAGAAATATATTTATGCTAGGAGAGAGAGGTGCGACTCGGATAGGAGAACCGTGTCGCCACGCTTCTAGCATGGCATCTTGGCATAGCGCCTCGATGCCATGCCCTGCTGTACTATTTCTCCTGACAAGGATATGGGAGTGTGTTCTAGGCTAGCAAATGGAAGAGTTCGGAGCTAGCTAGGCAACCACCCCTTCGGAAATTCCCATGCATCCTGCATGGTGAATTCCCGTCTTGTTACATAATTCCCCTCCCTAAGAAGCATCGTCCCGATGCTTACCCATACTAAACAATCACAGGTCTAAAACCAGAGAAGTATATACAAGCCAAAAAGTTTCCTAAGGTCTGAACCAAGAAAGTATTTATAAGATGAATTTCATATTCACTCTTGGTCTTCAATCATGGTCTCTGATTTTCTTCAAGCTTCAGAGAAGGTCTCGAGTAGAATCCAGGGAGGAGGTCGGCATGTAGCTGCAGCCCATACTACAGCTTCTTGCGGTCACATGCAGCTTCCAATCATTGGGTGGGGGACTCCCAATTATCATTCCGTTGTGAACAGACTCGATCAAGCCCATGCTTTCACAGCTATGGCGCTTCTTACTGAACATATACCCCATACCAAGCTGCCTCAAGGCTGGTGCCTATAGCACGTCCAGCAATACCGCCAAGCATGCCTTTAGAAGAAATTCAGAAAGGGAATTACAAGCTACCTAGCCAAGCAAGCAACCTTGTGGATCCACTAAGATAGTGAAATAAGGTGCTGGTGCTCTTTATATATCACAGAGCATTGGTCTTGGCACAGGAAGTTCCTAGAATCAGAAAGGAGGAATGATAGGAATCAGACATATAATTGTCCTGCTTGTAATTGCTCTATTGACTATCAGCAATTTAGAGCAAAAGCAAGAACACATACAAACTGTTTCTCTCAGTTCAGAGAATTCGAGTGTAAGTCGAAGTGGTGTAGCCGTAGAAGATTTCTTGAGCAGCAGGGTCACTTCGAAATTCGAATTTCTGCTCCCAAACATTCTGGTTGGCTGAAATTCACCCAAGTAGATTCAGCAACCTCGCCATCACCAAAGTAGCATTCGACTTCAGATCTGGAGCAGGAAGTTCCTCGCCATCCAAGGTGCAGGAAAGCCTCGTAGTTGCTCCAAGGTAGGACATGTCGAAGCAGAAGTCGAAGCCAAAGAGAAACAGCTAACTACTAAGGACGAGAGTAGAAGACGAGGAGAAGAGAGTAGCTAGTTTAGTACGAGAGTAGAAGCTTAGGAACGTAAACATCTCGGATACCAATGAAACAGGAGCTACGGCGCAGCGACGCACGGCGCGGCTGGCCTGGCCGGCCTAGCGACCAAGGAGAGGCGCCGTAGCTAGAAGAAGGAAGAACGTTGGCAGCGGAAGGGAGGCAAAACTAGGCTAGTGAGAGATGCCTAGCTCTGGAGTCTTAGATGAGAGATCAAGAAGTAGAAAGTAGATTCCAGAATGAGATGATACAAGAAGATCCAGAGAAATATATTTATGCTAGGAGAGATAGGTGCGACTCGGATAGGAGAACCGTGTCGCCACGCTTCTAGCATGGCATCTTGGCATAGCGCCTCGATGCCATGCCCTGCTGTACTATTTCTCCTGACAAGGATATGGGAGTGTGTTCTAGGCTAGCAAATGGAAGAGTTCGGAGCTAGCTAGGCAACCACCCCTTCGGAAATTCCCATGCATCCCGCATGGTGAATTCCCGTCTTGTTACATAATTCCCCTCCCTAAGAAGCATCGTCCCGATGCTTACCCATACTAAACAATCACAGGTCTAAAACCAGAGAAGTATATACAAGCCAAAAAGTTTCCTAAGGTCTGAACCAAGAAAGTATTTATAAGATGAATTTCATATTCACTCTTGGTCTTCAATCATGGTCTCTGATTTTCTTCAAGCTTCAGAGAAGGTCTCGAGTAGAATCCAGGGAGGAGGTCGGCATGTAGCTGCAGCCCATACTACAGCTTCTTGCGGTCACATGCAGCTTCCAATCATTGGGTGGGGGACTCCCAATTATCATTCCGTTGTGAACAGACTCGATCAAGCCCATGCTTTCACAGCTATGGCGCTTCTTACTGAACATATACCCCATACCAAGCTGCCTCAAGGCTGGTGCCTATAGCACGTCCAGCAATACCGCCAAGCATGCCTTTAGAAGAAATTCAGAAAGGGGATTACAAGCTACCTAGCCAAGCAAGCAACCTTGTGGATCCACTAAGATAGTGAAATAAGGTGCTGGTGCTCTTTATATATCACAGAGCATTGGTCTTGGCACAGGAAGTTCCTAGAATCAGAAAGGAGGAATGATAGGAATCAGACATATAATTGTCCTGCTTGTAATTGCTCTATTGACTATCAGCAATTTAGAGCAAAAGCAAGAACACATACAAACTGTTTCTCTCAGTTCAGAGAATTCGAGTGTAAGTCGAAGTAGTGTAGCCGTAGAAGATTTCTTGAGCAGCAGGGTCACTTCGAAATTCGAATTTCTGCTCCCAAACATTCTGGTTGGCTGAAATTCACCCAAGTAGATTCAGCAACCTCGCCATCACCAAAGTAGCATTCGACTTCAGATCTGGAGCAGAAGTTCCTCGCCATCCAAGGTGCAGGAAAGCCTCATAGTTGCTCCAAGGTAGGACATGTCGAAGCAGAAGTCGAAGCCAAAGAGAAACAGCTAGCTACTAAGGACGGGAGTAGAAGACGAGGAGAAGATAGTAGCTAGCTTAGTACGAGAGTAGAAGCTTAGGAACGTAACCAGCTCGGATACCAATGAAACAGGAGCTACGGCGCAGCGACGCACGGCGCGGCTGGCCTGGCCGGCCTAGCGACCAAGGAGAGGCGCCGTAGCTAGAAGAAGGAAGAACGTTGGCAGCGGAAGGGAGGCAAAACTAGGCTAGTGAGAGATGCCTAGCTCTGGAGTCTTAGATGAGAGATCAAGAAGTAGAAAGTAGATTCCAGAATGAGATGATACAAGAAGATCCAGAGAAATATATTTATGCTAGGAGAGAGAGGTGCGACTCGGATAGGAGAACCGTGTCGCCACGCTTCTAGCATGGCATCTTGGCATAGCGCCTCGATGCCATGCCCTGCTGTACTATTTCTCCTGACAAGGATATGGGAGTGTGTTCTAGGCTAGCAAATGGAAGAGTTCGGAGCTAGCTAGGCAACCACCCCTTCGGAAATTCCCATGCATCCCGCATGGTGAATTCCCGTCTTGTTACACAGACGTTGTGAAGGGAGGAAAGCGAGCAAAGGGAGTGGTGGAGATTGAAGCTCCCTCTGGCGTTGTTCTGCAGGCGTTTAGGGTTCCGCACCAATTTGACCGCGGTAGCCTTCCGTGCATTTTCTAGGCGCATTCATGCTGGTTGCGTTGCGCGGATGTTGCTGCCTCGCATAACATGTGCGGAGGCTGATGCTAGCTCCCGAGGTAGAATTAGCTCCGCACTAGTTGTGCGGCCATTTGCCCGGCGAAGCAACAACTTCGAACCTGCAGACGGTTAAATTCGTGCGCCCCAAAAGTGGCGTTCTGCAGGCTGATGCGTTAAATTTGGCGCAAACAGGTTCGGCAGGACCTTTCTTATCACCAAACCTTGATAGGCAGAAGACCCCTTATCAACGAAGATTCTGCGGACCCAGTTTTTGGAATTTTAACGCCTACATAACAGCGCCTCTGAGTGGTTCCAGACTCCAGTGTGCTGGTGGGGGTGCGTATGAGCGATCTGATCAGGGACAGAGATTTGAGATTTTTGTCACAAACTCTTCGCTGCTAAGGTTCTGAAAAAACCCCCTGTTTTAAGACTACGCATTTCCGCCTGCTGATACATGGCTGCTCTTACGATTTAGCAATTGGGGTGCGACTGGCTGCTTTTCAGCACTATGGAAAGAACGGTTTCAGTTCTTACGTAAATTTTCCATGGGCTATAACACGATGGTTCTACGGTGATTAACATTGAACGAAGATCGGGGAACCAGGCCAGACGCTTTGTGAACGCCGATTATAATCCGAGCAAAAGAGGGGTGTTCGAGAAAAATCGTCTACATTGCCAATGACACCGTGGTAAGTTCTCCAAGGTGACGAGATCCATCGAGTGGGAATATCTCGGGGTAGTGTAATTCTCATCTCTCCCACGGCCGACTACAAATCACGAAATCCAGGCACAGTCAAGTGGAAAAAAAAAAAATGAATTGAAAACACTCTTGTCCTCTCCAACAACTCATAGGATAACACCTTGCAAACGAGAGGCCTGAGGCCACCGTTTCCACTCAGCCAATGCCTGTGCACCACGGCTCGTCCCTGGGAGGGTGTGGTGGTTGCGTGGGTGTGCCTGAACTTCACACGCGCTTCGGTGATCAGAATAATTCTGTACTGGAGAGTTCGTTTGTTGATAGATACACTCCCGCGATTCTGGTGTTATGGAAACTGCACAACAAGGTGTAGTAAGTTACGGCACATACATATAAGCGGTACACCCATCCTGAGTTGTGCATACGGTAATACATGAGACTTGATCTACATCAAAATGAATCCACAAGCTGGAAATAAATTGCACACCACACCAACGCTATGATGAAAACCTGAACGTCCAGGTCCCTTCCCTGTACATCTACGGTACATAAATTCTAACTAAATCCTCCCCAACTCCTCTCCAATCCCCCTCCCCCTTCCATTCATCCCACCCACCTCCCCCCCCCCCCCCCCCCCCACCCCCCCCTCCCCCCCCTCCCCCCTTCCCACCAGCACTCCTAGGGTTCATCCAGCAAACCCTGCTCCATATCTCCCTGCAGGGGAGCATTGGCAGGAGCAGGAGCAGGGGCGGGTTGCACTGGGGCTGCCGGCGGCAGGGACCGCCTTACCGCTTCTAACTGCTCGCGCACGTGAGAGAGGCGCGGGCGCATGGACGGCAGCGTGGTGGTGCAGGAGAGGGCGAGCGAGACAAGGCGGCGCAGCATGTCGTAAGCGATGGGCATCTCCGGGTCCCTTAAAGCCGCTATGTCGTTCGCATCCACGTGCTGGGACGCCTGTGTGGGGGGGATGGATCAGAGGGAGAGGAAGAGGATAGTTTGGAGACGTCTCAAAAGTCGAGACAAGGCGGCGCAGCATATTGTATGCGATGGGCAACTCAGGTTCCCTTAATGCCGCTACGTCGTTCGCATCCACGTGCTGGGACGCTTGCGGGGAGGATAGGAGGGAAGTGGGGTTGTGAAGGTGGAGGGATCGTTGTTGGATGTGGTAGGTGGTAGAATTGGGATGGATGGGACAAGGGCGGGACTGGGCAATACAGCAAGTGGAAGATGCAGGAGTGTGTGTGAGGGTTGCCGGGTGAGAGGAGCAGGGGGTCCTGGGATAAGAGTTTGGTAACCAGGAGGTTGATGATGCTCAGTTGCGGTTGGGGTTATGCAGAAAGACCCTGGGCTGCTGGAGCATGTGAAGGGAGTGAGTAAGGCATGAGATGTGGGAAGAGGGGGCAAGAGTTGACGGGAAGAGGGAGGAGGATTCGACTCACCCACTGACTGATTGACATCTGGCGGTCGGTAACCACAAGGATAGCCCTGCGACCAGTGAGCACCTCCAGCATCACCACACCGAAACTGAAGGGCAGAAAGAACGGGGGGTGGGGGAGAGAGAGAGTGGTGAGTAGAGAAGCTGCGGTGTAGCCATACGAGAGGCTCAAGCATGCTAAAAAGGGTTTTATGTTGAAACGCAAACTCAACTAGATGTGTCCTAGTAAGGGGTTTTTCTTTAACAGCATTTTCCAAGTGCTGCCCAGCATCCAGTAGCAAGTAGCGCGTGCCGCGATCACACACACACGCACACACCGAGAACCCAAACTTTGCATAGGATTTGGGGGCAACGTACCTGTATACATCAGACTGAGGGGTTGCCACATGTGTCTTGGCATAGGAAGGATCCACGTAGCCTGGCGTGCCCACCACTCTTGCACCATCCTCCCCACCGCTCTCCACCACCCTCACAAACCCAGCATCTACTAGTTGAGGCTGTTAGCACGACGAAGAGAGAAGGAGAGGAGAAAACAAGAAATCAGCCCATGATCACGTCACATTAAGTCACATCACGTCACAGCACATCACAGCACTTCAAATCCACACACACGGCATAGAAAGAAATCATGACTCTGTGCAAATATTTTAAGCGTTCTTGAAGCGGGATAACGTGAGACCGTGGGGAAGTGAGAGGAGCACAGACCTGGAGGTGTTGGTCGAGGAGGACGTTGGAGGGCTTGACATCGCGGTGCACGATGCCACTCGCATGCAGACACTCCAGCCCCCTCGCCACCCCCGCCAGAATGCCCACCCTCTCGCCCAGACTCAGGGGCGCCTGTGCGCCTGAGGGAGTAGGGCATGGCGGGAGGGACGGAATAGATGGCAACAGGGCGTGAGAAGAAATTCCAGGGTGGTGCAAGTGACTGCTGGGTTAGAGGAGCTGTGCATGTGTCACTTATGACCGTCCTCATGTGTGTCTCGGTGGTCTGATGTAATTCTCTGCTGCTTGCTGAGAATTATGTCAGAAGGCTGCCGGGTTTGAGGAGCTGATTTTGTGTCACTTTTGAGAATCCCCTTGTGTGACTCTTTGGCAGGGGGAGCTGGCCAAGTGAAGGTTCCTGCGGCTCTTGGAACAGAGAACAGACAGACACTCATGCTGGTTCACTCTCCGCTAGTGCACACACGCAGTGTGGACATACGGGGTACAAGCTTCATTCACCCATGGCGTGGGTTGTTCTGCAACTGCCAAGCGCGTTCCTACGAGCCTTAACCGCGCATATGAAGCAAAATCAGGGCGCCTATTGAACGTTTGTCTAAAAGTTTCGTTTTTTTGTTCCTTTTTTATGGTTTTTTTTTTTTTTTTTCCAAATTCCCAATACAACCGCCCACCTGGCTGTATGCGTAGCTCTCAAGACTCATCTAGGCGCCCACCTGGCCGGAGGCGTTTCTCGAGGTCGCCGTGAGGGAAAAAGGGGTAGAGGGTGACCTGCTCCAGCGCGCTGGGCGTCATTTCCATGCAGAACCCCACCAGCCGCACCACGTTTGCGTGCCGCACCGCCCCCATGCGCTCCACCTGCCATGCCGTTCCGTGCCGTGCCATGCCAAATGCAAAGCAGAGGAAACAAGAAGCTGAGCAACATGATTAGAAGGAACATAAAACTAACAAACACACAAACAAACAAACAAACAAACAAACAACCAAACAAACCACTTCCACAGTTCCCCTGTGCACACACAGCTTTTTTGAAGTTATTAGCGAGGACGCGGGCGCGGCTGACAGTGAGCACGAGGCCCTCATTGTAGGGGTCCACGCCCCTGTACACATCGTTGAACCCGCGCGCCCCCAGGCTGTTGGCCTCCGCCCAGTTGTCCGTGGCTGCCCGCACCTCGTCCAATGTGAACTCCCTGAAGGCCGCCCCGGGGGTTGATGCGCGCACCGCCACTAGTGGTGGGGGACAGGGAGAGGAGTGGGGGGTGCAGGGAGGAGAGGCGGGAAGTGGGGGGGAAGAGGGAGGTGGGAGGTGGAGAGGGGGATGGTTGTTTAGGCGCCTCAAAGCTCATGTCTACCGGTGCAATCATCCCACACACATACTCCACTGGCATCTCCCCTGCAATCTCCAGCAGCACACCAGCAACCAGCCCACCAATCCGCCCGCAGCTCACATGGTGCCCACATCACAGCACCCCCATGCCAACTGTGCCACCCGCACCACCTGCTCCACTTAACCACACATCCGAGCCCCACTCGATTCATTCCAGCCACTCAATCCCAGCCATCCATGCCCATCCTAGATCTAAGGAACTTCCCCCTTCCTGCCTGCGCTCACCAGCAGCACGGGCAGTGCCGCAGTAGCGCCACACCACGAGCAGCAGCAGAGCCACCAGCGCCGCCACTCCGAATGCAGCACCAACGGCAATGCCCGCAATGGCAGCGGTGGAGAGCGAGGAGGAGGAGGAGGATTGTGTGTCAGGCGCGGGGGCTGGTGGGGGGACAGACGGTGGTGATTCGGACGGTGGTGCTGGTGATTGGAATGAGGTAGATGGCAGGGCGATGGGTGCAGATGCGGGTGGGAGAAGGCACAATTGAAGTGAGGGAGTAAGTGAGGGAAAGAGGGGGTTCAGCAAAAAAGGGAGGAGGTGGAAAGACGCCTGAGGGTTTAGAGAAACAAGTTGCCTAGAGAAACAAACACCACGTACTGGAGGGTCTCAACACAGACCTACATTACAGACCGGGCAGCGGACAGACAGTTTCAATCAACGCAGGGTAGCAAGCAACGGGACGTCTCAAAGGAGACACCTTTAAAGTCTCAACACAGACCTACATAACGGATCGGGCACCGGACAAACGGTTTCCACGCAGGGTGGCAACGGGACGAGACACACAAGTGGAGTGAAACCAGTTTCCAGTTGCTGCTGTGCGACTGCGGCTGCAGCAGCTGCGGCTGGGGCTTACCAGAACCCACTGTGCAGCGACAGACAGAGTCCTGAGTTTCACACGCGTAGAATTGGCCTGATGACGGGCAGAAGATGACTGGGAGGAAGCTGCAGCGGAGAGGAGGAGAAGCACGACGCAGTGCACACAGGGCAGGAGAGAGAGTGGATGGGACGAGAAGGAATGGGGAGCATGGGGGGATGGCATCGTGGCATGCAGGACTGGGCTGGGCTGGAATGGGGTGGACAAGGCAGCATGTGAGAAGGGTGGTGAGAGTTCATAGTTGAATGCTGTGGACGCACCACGCGGGGTGGTGAGACAGCGTGAGTGGAAGGTTGAAGGTGTATAGAAGGTTCGGTAGAGTTGTGGTGTCGGTGGGGTGTATGGTGTAGGTGGGGTTTAAGTGGGTAAGTGCAAGCAGGCAGGCATGTGGGCTTACAATTCCAAGCGCTGGCCCAGAACACTCATTTCGCTTGGGATAGTGCCATTTATGTTGTTGTTGCCCGCCAAATCCCTGACATGCAGAGGATGAAGAGGTGGTGGAGGGGGAGGAGGGGAAGAAGGAGGAGGAGGAGGAGGAGGAGGAGGAGGAGGAGGAGGAGGAGGAGGAGGAGGAGGAGGAGGAGGAGGAGGAGGAGGAGGAGGAGGAGGAGGAGGAGGGGGGGGGGGGAGGGGAGGAGGAGGAGGAGGAGGAGGAGGAGGAGGAGGAGGAGGAGGAGGAGGAGGAGGAGGAGGAGGAGGAGGAGGAGGAGGGAGAAAACGAGTGGGATCACAGTATGCGAAGGGGATCAAGAGGGTGAGACAACAGCTGCAAAATGGGGAAACGGAAAAGGGGAACAGCCAGCATGAGTGCACCTGTTCAGGTAGCCCTCACCCCTCACTCGCTGACTGCATGTTACTGGTCTTGTGGTCAGTGCATCTGACCAATCCACCCATGAGGAGTGCTTCTCTCACCTCACCTGCTGGCATACATGCAACCTAGACAGACCATGCATGCCATGCCCATCCACCATGCCCCACGCACCATGCCCCACGCACCATGCCCCACGCACCATGCCCCACGCACCATGCCCCACGCACCATGCCCCACGCACCATGCCCCACGCACCATGCCCCACGCACCATGCCCCACGCACCATGCCCCACGCACTCACCATGCCCCATGCACCATGCCCCACGCACTCACCATGCCCCACGCACTCACCATGCCCCACGCACTCACCATGCCCATGGTCACAACAGGCGAACATGCACATCCACAATTCTCCCTTACAGGTGGGTGAGGTTGCGAAGATTGGAGAGCTCGGATGGGATGGGTCCTGACAGCTGGTTGTTGGACAGGTCCCTGCGGGCATGGAGCATGGGCATGAGGAAGACGAGAGAGATTGATGAAAAGAGGAAACGCGAGTAATGTGGGCAAAAGAAACATCGGCACAACATGTGAGGGCGCCTAGCAGAAGCTTGCTAAAGAAGATGCAAGAGGCGACTTGTGAGTGAGTGGAGTGGACAGGTCACAAAGGCAGGCAGAAGCACGCAGACATGAAGAGCGGAGATATCTACATACTTCAAGCTGAAACAAGAGGTGACTGTGAGTGGACACAGAGGTTTACAATCGATTCGAAGTTCTGGCAGAAGCACGCACGAGGAGATGCGGTGCGATGCAGTGTGGTGCGGTGAGACGGGAGAGTCAGAGCAGACTCACGAAGTTCATGTGCAGAGTTTGGACACATGCAATGACTTACAGTCGCACTAGATTTGTTAGATTTCCAATGCGTTCGGGAATGGATCCATTAAGACCATTGTTCTGCAGGAGGCTGCAAGCAAACCAAGAGCAGCGCGCAAGCATGCGCCGAGACGGAATCAGACAAGAATTGCTTGTTGGTTCTCCTCTCCTGCAGCCCAGCAGTTCCCAGCCAATCCAATGATCCAATCTCCTCCATGCTTAACCAAGCCCCAGCTGGATATACCCCCGAGCAACGCACAGAAGGGTATGAGCTGGGAAGCCATGGGGTTTCTGGGGTTCTGATCTTTTCGAAAACTAATGGGAAAAGGCATGATGATTCCTCTGTAGGGATTTGCCCTGTAGCTGTTTCTGTTTTGAGGCGCCCTACACATCAGCCCGGGGTTTCAATGCACATCGAGTCTCATGGTTCCCTCTCCATGCACCATCACATACTGAGTTTCCTCTCATGCTACCCTACCCGCTCAACTAAAGGCTTCAACACATCGTGAGGCTAGGGGAAGAGAGGGCCTCGGCTTTCATGGCCTCTGCTTTGGAATGCATGCAGGCTTCAGCACATGCGATGGATGGAATGGATGGGGTATGGGAGAAGCATAAGCGCTGCTGCACTCTGCTGCAGTGGCAGCTGCGAGTGCGCGCGTGCCCTGAATGACTCACAGTTGTGAAAGGTTGTCGAGGCGGGAAAGTTCTAAAGGGATGGACCCAGACAGCTTGTTGTTTGCGAGGTTGCTGGGGGAGCACGAGGAGAGAGGGGCAGAGAGGGAGGGGCCACAGAGGGTTAGACGTTTCTTACGGTTCCTCCGTGAAAGCTAGGCCCTAAGACATACCCATATGACCCATCATGCATACCCCCCGTCATGCTGCGTTCATCATGCATGCACCATCATGCGTGTCCCATCATGCACGCATCCATCGGTGCCTCTCAGCACAAGCACCCAACTGATGGGCCTCCCATCCACGGAGGCACTTCTGCTGTGGACACAGCAACTGGTGAAAACCACCACCACCACCACCACTCTGGCAAGACAAACTTCTCTTTTCCTAAGCAGCAACTGAGGAGAGGAGAAGCAGAGAAAGATTGATGGGGCAGGCAGGCAGCTTGTGTATAATGTGTGTAATGATTGCGAGGGGCAGGGCCAGCAGACAGACGGACGGACACCTACAGCTTCCACTTTAAGTTGACGTCGTCCGCTAATGCTACTCGCAACACAGTGGACCCAGAAAGGGTGTTGCCCTCTGAGTCGAAATGAATTGGATTTCGAGTCGATTCACAATTGACTGTTGAGTGAGTGGACTCAAAAGGTGACAGTGGCTCACAGCTCTCTTAGTTGACGGAGTGCGCCAATGTTGTTTGTTACGGGCCCGAACAGGCCGTTGTCTTGCAAGAAGCTGCGGAACGCAACAACGCACGTGGGCACAGAGAGGCAAACAGAGGGTCTTTCGTACAGGAAATAAATGTTCCTCAGCTGATTTTTTAGGCACCTCGGAAATCGCCTCAGTTCACGCAGATTTTATATGGGAAGGAATGTGCAGGTGCAGGAGCATGCGGTGGTGAGAGCGGCGCACCGAGAGGCAAACAGGTCGGGCGTACAGGAATTGAAGGTTCCCCAGCTGCTTAAGATTTTTTAGGAGCCTCAAAAGTAGAAAAGCATACGGTGGTGAGAGGGGTGCACCACGAGGCAAACAGAGGGTCGGACGTACAGGAATTGAAGGATCGGCAGCTGCTTCAGATTTTCGGGAATAGACCCATTAAGAGAGTTGCTGCCCAGGTTGCTACAATGACATTGGCAGAGGGCGTGGACGGCGCATGGAGCAAGCAAGAGAGAGAGAGAGAGAGAGAGAGAGAGAGAGAGAGAGAGAGAGAGAGAGAGAGAGAGAGAGAGAGAGAGAGAGAGAGAGGGAGAGAGAGAGAGAAAGGGGGACTTAGCCTCTTCCCTCCTAGCCTCTTCCCCTTCCCCCAGCTATATAATGGCCAGCCGGCACCTTCCCTAGCTCATTATTCATTTGGTGATTCCAATTTTTCCGGTGCTCGTTTCGAGAGAGCGAGAGAGAAAGGGGGACTTAGCCTCTTCCCTCCTAGCCTCTTCCCCTTCCCCCTGCTATATAATGGCCAGCCGGCACCTTCCCTAGCTCATTATTCATTTGGTGATTCCAAATTTTCCGGTGCTCGTTTCGAGAGAGCGAGAGAGAAAGGGGGACTTAGCCTCTTCCCTCCTAGCCTCTTCCCCTTCCCCCAGCTATATAATGGCCAGCCGGCACCTTCCCTAGCTCATTATTCATTTGGTGATTCATTTGGCTACCTCGACAATGGCGGGAAGAGAACGAGGAGCGTCTGGCGGAACGGAGCGACAGGCTGTCGCCGCCTGCGACTCACGGAGAGCAGTTGCGAGCACGTCCGGAAGCCTCTCCAGGGCGCGCGCAAAGTCCGACGCAGACTGGCGACCCCCGCCCCCGCGTCCGCGGCCCCCGCGACTGCCACGCCGCCCACGACTATTCGACCACGAGCGGGCTGGAGATTGGGGCCGGGACGTGCTGCGCGGGCGGAGCGCAGGGGATCGCTCACGACGCGATGGAGAATGGCGCCGCTGGCGCTTCACCGGCGATTCGCGCGGAGAACGGCGAGCAGGAGAGCGACGCCCTGAGGATCGGCGCGCGGGTGAATGACAGCGAGGCGAATGGCGAGATGGGGAACGGTGACTTGGCGAACGACGCCCAGGGGAACGGCTGCGGCTCCCCTGACGACGAGGGGAGCGACGCTCGCGGCGATCTTCACGCCGCCCCTCGCAGCGTTCGTCACGAGGCTCAGGCGTCCGACGACGCGGAGAACGCCCCCGGTGCGGCTCCGCCAAGGCGCCAGAACACACAGCGGACTCCGCGCGGGTTGCCACTCTCGGAGGCGAATCAGCGACGCGCGGCCCGGGAGGACGGCGCTGGTCCTCAAATCGGCGCCGGATTTGGTCCGCAGCAGCGGGAGGACGAGCAGGAACGCTCACCGCCGGGCGTGGCGGAAGCACAGGTGCACTCTCCGCGGTACACTCGCGGTCGTGGGCGGACGGAAGCGCCATCTGCGCAAGCACAAGGCGCAATTCCAACACAAGGGGAGCCTACAACCCCGACTTTCCCCACGCAACAGGCGGCGCTAGCAGCAGGGACCCCGCAGAGCGGACGGGGAAGCGCGCGGGGGAGAGGATCGCGACGAGGAGCGCGCGGAGGACAGAGGAGCGCAGGTCAAGCGGCGAGGGGGCGCGGGCGCCAACCACCGAGCCCAATCTGGCTAGGGGAGCCGGCGGAACGAATCACGCGGCAGTCGTTCGCTAGGCGCGGGGCGAGAGGTGGTGCACCAGCGCAAGCAGGGAGGAACGTCGATATCATCAGAGAGGCGAGAGACAAGGACTATATACCGTCAGATCTGAGGCAACCAGACAATCCCGACTCACCTCGCGCGGAATCAGGAGAGGAGGTGGCGCAGCAACAGGAGAGAGGAACCAACCGCAGACAGCAGCGCAGAGCCCAGCCCCCACCGGACCAAGCCCTATCTGCGTCCCAGCTGGCCTCGCGGGAGGATCTTTTCCAGATCGCGATGACCTGGGACCTTACGCTCCTAACATCCATCACCCACCAACCAATCGTCCGCCGACTGCCGCCGCAGATCCTCAGCGACTACTCCACCTGTATGCTGGCTGCCTTACTACGGATCTCAAAGCTGCCTAATTGCGCGGGAGCGTGGCGGGTCCTCATGTTCCTGCAACGTCTCACGCTAAGACTTAGCCGGAGATCCAGCTCTAGGTGGAAACTGCTGCGGGCACAGATGCATCTATTCCGATGTGGACACTGGACCCAGCTGTACACCGAATACTTGGGGTCAATGCACCTGGCCGAACCACCTCAGCACCAACGTGACCCGCTGGGAATCTGCTCACGTGCGGAGGGGTTGGTGAAAAGGGGTAACCTGCGAAAGGCGTTAGCGGCCCTTCAACCCTCGCCATCAGCACCGGCGACATTCGCGACACTGCAGCAGCTGGAATCGAAACACCCCCAACCCCAAAATGACCTGCCCGACTGGGTCCACTCTTACACGACACCCACACAATTTTCAACCACCCTGGAAAGCTTTTCGGACGTCCTCGGGGAATGCCCCAGGGGAATTGGGGCTGGCCCATCGGGGTCAACCTTCGAACACTACCGCGATCCAGCGCTAAGTAACATCGAGGTACTAGGGCACCTCCACACGCGCCAGTGCCTCTAGGCACTCCGACAGTATCCACAGCTGACGCAGGGTCGCCGTGGAACATGAATACTCCGCCTCCTCAAGGCGAGGACGAGGGTCACGATACGGACCCCTTGCTGGGCCTCCGCCAGCGCCAACAAAACCCGGGAGAACAGGCGGCTGCTGGACAGAGCGCTGCGGGGACACCGCACGGTTGGCTACCTCGACAATGGCGGGAAGAGAACGAGGAGCGTCTGGCGGAACGGAGCGACAGGCTGTCGCCGCCTGCGACTCACGGAGAGCAGTTGCGAGCACGTCCGGAAGCCTCTCCAGGGCGCGCGCAAAGTCCGACGCAGACTGGCGACCCCCGCCCCCGCGTCCGCGGCCCCCGCGACTGCCACGCCGCCCACGACTATTCGACCACGAGCGGGCTGGAGATTGGGGCCGGGACGTGCTGCGCGGGCGGAGCGCAGGGGATCGCTCACGACGCGATGGAGAATGGCGCCGCTGGCGCTTCACCGGCGATTCGCGCGGAGAACGGCGAGCAGGAGAGCGACGCCCTGAGGATCGGCGCGCGGGTGAATGACAGCGAGGCGAATGGCGAGATGGGGAACGGTGACTTGGCGAACGACGCCCAGGGGAACGGCTGCGGCTCCCCTGACGACGAGGGGAGCGACGCTCGCGGCGATCTTCACGCCGCCCCTCGCAGCGTTCGTCACGAGGCTCAGGCGTCCGACGACGCGGAGAACGCCCCCGGTGCGGCTCCGCCAAGGCGCCAGAACGCACAGCGGACTCCGCGCGGGTTGCCACTCTCGGAAGCGAATCAGCGACGCGCGGCCCGGGAGGACGGCGCTGGTCCTCAAATCGGCGCCGGATTTGGTCCGCAGCAGCGGGAGGACGAGCAGGAACGCTCACCGCCGGGCGTGGCGGAAGCACAGGTGCACTCTCCGCGGTACACTCGCGGTCGTGGGCGGACGGAAGCGCCATCTGCGCAAGCACAAGGCGCAATTCCAACACAAGGGGAGCCTACAACCCCGACTTTCCCCACGCAACAGGCGGCGCTAGCAGCAGGGACCCCGCAGAGCGGACGGGGAAGCGCGCGGGGGAGAGGATCGCGACGAGGAGCGCGCGGAGGACAGAGGAGCGCAGGTCAAGCGGCGAGGGGGCGCGGGCGCCAACCACCGAGCCCAATCTGGCTAGGGGAGCCGGCGGAACGAATCACGCGGCAGTCGTTCGCTAGGCGCGGGGCGAGAGGTGGTGCACCAGCGCAAGCAGGGAGGAACGTCGATATCATCAGAGGGGCGAGAGACGAGGACTATATACCGTCAGATCTGAGGCAACCAGACAATCCCGACTCACCTCGCGCGGAATCAGGAGAGGAGGTGGCGCAGCAACAGGAGAGAGGAACCAACCGCAGACAGCAGCGCAGAGCCCAGCCCCCACCGGACCAAGCCCTATCTGCGTCCCAGCTGGCCTCGCGGGAGGATCTTTTCCAGATCGCGATGACCTGGGACCTTACGCTCCTAACATCCATCACCCACCAACCAATCGTCCGCCGACTGCCGCCGCAGATCCTCAGCGACTACTCCACCTGTATGCTGGCTGCCTTACTACGGATCTCAAAGCTGCCTAATTGCGCGGGAGCGTGGCGGGTCCTCATGTTCCTGCAACGTCTCACGCTAAGACTTAGCCGGAGATCCAGCTCTAGGTGGAAACTGCTGCGGGCACAGATGCATCTATTCCGATGTGGACACTGGACCCAGCTGTACACCGAATACTTGGGGTCAATGCACCTGGCCGAACCACCTCAGCACCAACGTGACCCGCTGGGAATCTGCTCACGTGCGGAGGGGTTGGTGAAAAGGGGTAACCTGCGAAAGGCGTTAGCGGCCCTTCAACCCTCGCCATCAGCACCGGCGACATTCGCGACACTGCAGCAGCTGGAATCGAAACACCCCCAACCCCAAAATGACCTGCCCGACTGGGTCCACTCCTACACGACACCCACACAATTTTCAACCACCCTGGAAAGCTTTTCGGACGTCCTCGGGGAATGCCCCAGGGGAATTGGGGCTGGCCCATCGGGGTCAACCTTCGAACACTACCGCGATCCAGCGCTAAGTAACATCGAGGTACTAGGGCACCTCCACTCCGCCGTTAAACACCTTCTCTCGACAAACCTTTCCACCGAGGTTGCAGCCCTACTCGCCCCGTCCCGCCTTATAGCCTGCCAAACCAGGGGGGGGGTACGCCCAATCGCGATTGGAGAAACATTGCTTAGGCTGGCGGCGAAAGTGGCACTCTCAGACCTGCAAGGAGAAACGCGAAAATTTTTCCTACCTCAGCAATTTGGCGTGGCAGTCCCGGGAGGTGCTGAGTTCGTCATCCATGCAGTCAGAGACCTCACCACCGTGCAGCCCTCCAGCCTAGTCCTCCAACTCGACATTGAGAACGCGTTCAACTCAGTCGAGAGGAGCGCGTTCTTCAACGCACTTATCGGCTGCCCGCTAGCCCCCCTCATCCCCTTCACACGCTCTTTCTACGCATGAGCATGAGCGCTGCTGCT